AATTGAAAGAGCAATTTTACAAGGCCATGGAGAATGCATGGGAGAGTTTAGGACAGGACTTTTTTGATGGGTTGGTAATGTCTATGGAGAACTGTGTTAATGCAGTTTTAGAGGCAAAGGGGTGGTATACACATTATTAATACGATTTTTATTTTATTTTATCATTTATATGCTACTTACCCATAGCATATTTGACTATCTAGTAAAAGAATTGATGTTTGGTGGATTTATGTGGAAAAGAAATGTCTTGGTGATTATATATTTTTTCGTGGCTGCGGAAAATTACGTAGACTTTTGTCCAAGAACTATACTCCGTAAGACAGTTATGCATATTTATACTCACTTTACTAAGCACATGTGTGCATAAATGTCCGCCATCGCGCTCAATCCAAACTTCATCATGATTTTCCTTCAACACTCCATACCAGCTTTGCTGATCAGGCTGACAGACTGGTCTTTACGACTAACTGCTAAGTGATCTGGCCAAACCAGTTAATCCGCCAAAATGCAGGGCTTCAGTAAGTATCGCATACACCGACACCATGACAGACATAGCTGACAAGCTTAGATATGGGGAGGTTAGTACTAACCAGACTATCTACCCCATAACACCTCCCTAACAATGCATAAACCAGGTACTATCCTCCAGATGACACCGGCACTCCCACAAACCTCAACAGGCACACGCGCACAAAAACCACCCCAACCGTCCGCTTCGAAATGCCCTTCGCAATCTGGTGCACAACCTGCACCCCCCACGAGACCATAATCGGGCAAGGCGTTCGCTTCAACGCCGAGAAGAAGAAAATCGGCAACTACTATTCCACCCCGATATTCAGTTTCCGGATGAAACATACCGCGTGCGGGGGGTGGATTGAGATTCGCACAGATCCGAAGAATACGGCTTATGTGGTTACGGAGGGGGCGAGGAAGAGGGAGGTTGAGGAGGATCAGGTTCCGGTTGTGGCGGGGTTGGGGGAGATTGCGCTTAAGTTTGGACGGGAGGGGAAGGAGGAGGGTGATGATCCATTGGCGAGGTTGGAGGGGAAGGTTGTTGATAAGAGGCGCGCGGAGACGGAGAGTTCGAGGATTTTGGCGCTGCAGGAGCGGCAGAGTCGGGACTGGGATGATCCATATGAGAAGTCTAGGCGGTTGCGGAAGTCGTTTCGAGTTGAGAGGAAGCAACTTGAGCGCACCGAAAAGGGTACTGAAGCGTTGAAGGATAAGATGAGTCTGGGGATTGATTTAGTTGCTGAGAATGAGGAGGATAGAATGCGGGCTGGGATGGTGGATTTTGGTGGTACTGCTGCCCCCGAGTCTGTGGAGGATGCAGTGCGGGTTACACGGTTACGGCCGTTGTTCGCTGCGGATGTTCGAAGGGAGAAGGATGGGAAAGAGAAGAAGTATGGAAGGGTTCGAACGGCGGATTTGTTGGCGAATCGTAAAACTGCGTTTCGACATGAATTGACGGGGAATACCCGCGCCGCCGTGGATCCGTTTTTGAACGCTGCGGATGAAGACGTGTGGCAGCCTGAAGCCAAGAGACGGAAGATGGCAAAGGCATCTGTTCGCACTAGGACTAAAAAAGATGGGCCAGATGTTGAGGCCCAAAGCAATGGCAGGGCTTCTGAACCGCAGCCTCAACTTCAACCCAAGATGGAAATGCCGCTTGAAAAGAACCCAGCTCCAGTTGCATTGGTGGATTACGGATCGGATTCTTCGTAACTTGTACTACTTGTATATATACTGGCGTTTGTTTGTTATCATGATACCCCAACAGTTATTCTTGGACACATTTTTATTCAAACCATTCATATGAACAAAATATGTTTCTCGTGCAATAGGGGTATATCGTAGTAGATGGTCATAACATATCAAACTACATAACTTATCACATTCATTTCGCCCAAGGTGCCTTCGTCTGCCCCAAGTCCCCAGAATCACCACCAACCCCAGCAGGAGGTTTTGCCCATGGAGCCCTAGTTGGAGCCATCGGTCCCGGCGGTAACCTCGAGGTATCTGAGAGCGAGGAAGAGGCAGAAGGGGGTACTCTTGCAGTTGCTGCCCATGGTGCTGCCGTTGGTGCTGCTGCATCTGTTGAGATTCCAGTGGCCCATGGGGCTTTGGTTCCTGACCCTGGTCCTGCTGATGGAGGTGCTGGTCTGGTGGTTGATGGTTGTGACTGAGGTTGAGTCTGAGGGGCGATGGCGTTGGGGTCGCGATCAAAGCTGAATAGCGAGCCAAATGGAAAGTGCTGGACGACGGGGAATTTGGAGAGAACTTCTGCGTTGTACATTTTGATCATGCCCTGTATCACTTATTAGTGGCCTGTCAGGAAAATAATTGGGTAATTTTACCTTATTAATCTTAGCCCACCCCGTCCGAATCCCAGAGATATCATAAAGCATCGGACTATGTTCCCAGAATGGACCACGCTTAACGTCGTAGATAAAGCCCACTGCGGAGAAATACATGTTCGTTTTCCGCTCTCTCTCGACGATGTTGGCTTTGGCGACGCCCCCTGGATCTGGTGCATCTGGTAGTGAGCCTTCTTCGGGGAATGGCTCGGATTCTGCTACTGCAGGGGCGAATTGGGCTGCCCCGAAGATATATGGAATGAACGAGTGGTCGTCTAGACCCCAGACTCCGTGGGAACCTGCTGGTTCTAGGGTATATCGTCTGATAATGGTTCGGATGAGCTCAAGATACCTGTACACCGTGTTAGCGATAACAATCTTCCATGATTCTGAGCATGGGATCATACGGCTGCACGATCCCCAAAACAAGAGCTCTCTCCTCCACCCCTGGAGTAGTCTTCGGAAATCCATTTAATTTCCAAATGCCCCCCAAAAACGCTAAAAAGCTCAACTCATGCCCCGTCCCATAATCCAACCTTTGCGCACTCCCCCAACTCCCCAAGAAATATGCCTTCAGCTCCTCCTTCGCCGTCACCTTATCCCCACCCTTACCCAGCTCTAATACCTCCGGCGCAAGACACTCCTCCAACAACTCATCCGCCATCCCCTCCACAATCTGAAACCACCTCCGAAATGCGACATTCCCAAACCTCCTCGGCCCCTGATCCGGCGGTGCCTCCTCTAGAATCTCCTCAAGCTTCGCTAACAACTGCTGTAATTGCCTCACGGGAGCCGAGAACTCGACAGCCTCGGAGTTCAATTCCCAAGTCTGGATGCTTCCGTCGGAGTTTTTGAGCGGGAATATGGAGCGGTTTAGTTGTAGGAGAAAGGTCATTATGTCAACATAGGCTTTGCTGGTTAGGAAGGAGGAGACGTCGTTGGATTCATGGATTTTTTTGCTGGGGGTGCTGAAGGGGTGTGTTGGCCCCACGGAAGGGTCGAGGGTTGGGAGGACCCGGATGGGGAGGCCATTTGTTGTCATTTTGTATCCTGGTACTTAAATATTGTGTGAAGGAATCAATTCAATATAAGAATAAGGCTGTAGAAGATGAGGTGGTCGCGGGGTGGAAGTAATATATACTCCGCTATCGCTATGACGATGGCGGTGGCAGATCAATTTATTTATCTCCGCAAAAGGAACATTTTCACCACTCAACACAGGCTGTTCGAAGCCACACACCTCTATTTTACCAATGCCCTGATGCAAAACATTCACAATGCCATCGTCGCGTATCCGAAAACGCGACTCAACCCTCCAAACCCTCGACATCCTGAATAAAGTCGGTAGCGCTAGCCCCAACGCCAGCCCCAACACACGTTCGTGCGTGCTCCCGCCCCGTCGCAAGCTCCACGTGGTCTCTCGCGCTCAGGAGCCCAGGAGCGATGGTATTTGGAATATACCGAAGTCACCAGAGAAGCGCGGAGGGGATGCTGGAAGGGAAAGGGTTGGGGTTAGTGAGCCGATTACGCCGCGACGGTCCACGAGGATTCGGGAGACTACATCTTTGGTGGGTGGCGATGATAAGGGGATGACAAGGAGCGGAGGTCAGAGGTCGTTGAGGTCTATGCGGGGAGTCGACTATCAGGAGAAGAAGGGTGATGGGGAAGAGGAGAGTGGCGAAGAGGGTGAAGACGAGGACAATGGTGAGGATGAACAGGAACAGGAAGTGGAAGAGGGGGACGACGAGGAGCAAGAAATCCGCCTATTCTCAGACGACGAGTCTGAAACTACCAAACCACCGGATACATGTTCCCTACGGAAAAAGTCGCATGAACAATCAAGTGACAAGGAATTCCCGAGCTTCCTCTCTCCCACCGCACTTCTCAATGGCCAGGTGCCATCCAGCGATGACGAATCCAACGAGACTAATGAGCCCTATTTCAACAACACAGGACAGGAAGAAAACAGTGATTCAAAAGCGCAACATTCAAACGCAGAGGAGCTTGGCGAGGCTGAAACCAATCGACTCGGCGAGAGCAGGAGCTGGCGTCAACCGCCCAGTCCAGTAGTCGAGATTAGGTTGCCCCTGAGCTCACCGCATAAACCACGGAGTTCACCACCAGTGCAGGAGGTGCGCAGGGATCCGGCAGAGAGGGGATCCGATGAGTCTGAGTGGAAGGACGAACAATCATTCGATAACGTGGTCAACGGCGAAAAGTCGAGCAGCATGAGCATACCACGTAGATTAGAAAGCTCATCAGCGGAGCAGGAGATGCGCGAAGGTTATATAGAAAGGGAGGTGGGAAGAGATTCAGATGACTCTGAATCGGAGGAGGAGCAACCAGCCGAAAATGCGATAGACGGAGGCGAAAGACTAAGCAGATCGAGCATACCACATAGATCACGGAGCTCACCAGAGCAGGAGACGCACCACGACTGTACAGATGGGAAATCAGAAAATGAATCTGACTACTCATTGGAGGAGAATAGAGCAATAAACGAAGCTCAACGAGCGGGCAACGCGAGGTTACGGAGCTTACTGGCAGAGCTGGGGGCGCGGAGGAATTGTACACAAAGAGAACCTAATGAACCCGAGTCAGAGGAGGAACATTTACCGGATGATATGGTAAACGATGGCGGGAAATCCATATCAAGTTTCCAGCCGGAAGATGAACAAAATTCTAGCAGCTCTTCTCCTGAACCCTCTGATGCGGACGAAGAGGTCTTTCCACAACGTCAACCCAGAAAACGACGGCGTGTTAAGCGCTATCCTCCGGGGCTAACCCGGCCCCGAAGCAACCAGAACCCAATGTTTGTAACTGAGCAGAGTGGAGGAAGCGAAAGCGAAGAAAGTGATGTGTCAGATAATGAGGATGATGAAGCAGAGAGGGCAGCAGCTATCGCGGAAGAAGAAGAGCAGGCAAGGAAACTTCAATGGATGGAGGAGGCGATGAGACTTGGTGGACAACGAGTGAACTGGCTTATCTTGACCAGGACAGCCAGAGAACTGAAGCAACTAGTTGATCCCGCTTTAGCTGAATCGTTCGTGGATATCTGGTCAACAATCAGAGTATTGTCTCAGCTCTACGGGGAAAGGGATAATCGGCCATCTGAAATGACTCTCAGACAATGCGACAACCTCTTCGGAAGCATCCGGTGTGAGGGAGATAGGCTGCTCGACCAAGCCTATCATCTAGCCACTAGGCCCGATGGAGCTCGCGACGAAGTATTTGCGTGTGACCTAGTGGACGAATTCGAGGCACGAGTGATCCCGGAAATGGTAAAGCTGGTCTTTTCCTGCTTCAACGCTTACTATACCGATGTAGACATGTTCCCTGGGATTCACGATCACTTTCGTCGTGTGCTTGTTCTCCTCCGGCAGCTTTGCGATCGCACTACGAGTATGAAGATGCAGCGGATTGTGCATGGTACGGTGCGCTGCAAAGAACTTGGACGAGCACTGAACACCATCATTAAAGCGCTAGATTCACAGGATTTACGAATAAGGAAACCAGGAAGATCTTACAGCTCTATCTCGGATAAGTCCGGACAGGATAGGTCGCGCGGTTCTATAGCGATCGAGGATGATAGTGGCCGAGAGTGGTCTCAGGATGAGGGCCTAGCTCTGATCGATGGACTGCGGGCATATCAGGGTATGTTCCCACTATGCCACATGGCATATAAAGTACTGACATGACTAGGACCTGACCGGTACCTCCGTATCATTGGGCACTTCGGGCATCGACTGCAGAACCGGACCCAGCAGGAACTGCGCGCAAAGGCGTTACAGGTGCATGACAAGATACGGCCAAAGATTTCGACGCAGGTACAGACGGCAGAGGGACGACGGCAATGGGAGTGGCTGCTGAATGTGCGGGCGTAATTGTCTTTTCATGATTTGTTGTATAGTGATACCCTGCTGTTATTGCTTTGTTTACACTTCTATATCCGAAAGCGAACCATGGATCGTGTCGCAACCTCCTCTGGTACAATGTTACCCCTGGAGGCATTCTTATATCATTTTTTATATTCCTTTCAGCATCATGAAGCATCATGGTTCTTACCGCTAGTATCTCGGTGCCATGTACGGGTATGCAACTATAGGTACAGCCACCACTATCGCATCACTACTACCACTATGCTTCTAGTTTCTACAATATCCAATTGACGTACATAGAATATTCTATAACTACAAGTACATACCACTACTAGTATGCCAACTGTCCGTATTCCACTCGTTTGCATACTGCACTGTCGATCTCCCCTTATTGTCTCCGCCCGCCGTTCTTCTCCTCTCCGCAATCCTCCCTCTTCCTCTCTCCTCTTCCTCACTCACACTCCCTCTACTTTGTCTCTCTCTGTACAGTGTCTCTTATTTATTTAATTCTTGTTATTCTCTTTTCTCTACTCGTTTTTGTAATCTGCTTTTAATTCTGTTTTTCTATTTCTCTGTTGCTGTTGTCGCAGGTCCGTTTGTTCTCGTGTCTCCTCCCACCTGTCCTTACCCCCCCTGTTCTAACCACCGCAGTACTCCATACAGCAGAGGATCATAATTAATTTTGACCTCTAAACCGGTTTATTTTTTGTCAACAGTTTATCTGTGAGTGTTCTCTTTCTTTTTTTCTACGTCCAAACAGTGTTGGAGCCGTCGCATCTGCCTCTCGTCCGAAGCGTGACCAATTGCCTCCAGCGCGCAAGACAAAAAGGCGCAAAGCAGACCAAATTGGTTAAAAGGAGCCTCCGGATGTCAAGAGTTGTTTACGACTGTTGTCTAGCCTGACTGTCGTGGTGGCTTCAACCCGTTGCTCGTCGTTCCTGACTCCTGACACATACCTCCGTTCTTGACCGTTTCTGCCTCCTTTTCCTTGATTTCTTATATCTGTCCTTATCATACACCAATCCACTATTTACCATCGAAGAAATTCAATTACTGACGCGTTGGTGGCTAGAACACACCCCTAAACAAAACCGCGTTTAGAACACCATGGCTTCAACCGAGGACCCCGTCGCTCCCCCTCCGGCTACAGATACCGATACGGAGAACGTGCCTCCGGCCACTCCCGTCGAATCCTCTGTTATGTCTGGCAGCGAGGATCCCGTTACCAGCCCGGAAGCCGGTAAGGACAAGGAAGATTCCAAGGAAAATGTCAAGCCGTCATCTCCTACCAAGACCGCTTCTTCCACCACCAGCACCGGCACGACCAAGAGGCCTTTGTCGGGATCGACCCCCACCACGAGACGGCCTACTTCCACGACATCGGCTTCCAAGACTACTACTGCCTCTTCGCGCACGTCCACCAACGGTGGTACGCTAAGCAAGCCTCCTACGCGTCCGGCCACCACTTCCACCGCAACTCGCAGACCCCTGAGTTCTGCCACGACCGCTTCCCATCGTTCCCGCGCATCCGTCAGTAGCTCCGCGGATGAAAAGTCGCGCTTGAGCTCCAGCGATGAGAAGAAGGGTATCTCCGGAACGGCCAAGCGCATGTCGCTCGCGGGCACTCCTTCCACCCGCGCTCCCACCAAGCCAACCACATCCACCTTGGACCGCAGGTCTAGTGTGGCTGGCACAACAGCGGAACGGAAGACCGCGTCCCGTCCGAGCAGCTTGGGAGGTTCTACTGCCAAGCCGGTCACGAAGCCAGCGACTTCGACTTCTGCAACTCGCACGTCGACAACTGCCACTCGACCCACCTCCCGTCCGACTTCCACCAGCACGACAAAGCCAAGTGCTGTTTCCGATGCGCGCAAGCGATTGAGCACGGCCAATCCCTCTTCGGCTACCAAGGCCGCTGAGCAAGATGCCGAGAAGCTGCAGGCGCTCCAAACCCAGCTTTCGGAAAGTGAGGGCACTGTCGCCAGTCTCCAGGCAGAATTGGAGTCTGCTAACGAAAAGTTGAGTCAACTCTCGGTCTCCGGAGAGGGTGAGCCCAGCAAGGATGGCTCTACTTCCGATGCTCTCAAGGCTGAGCATGCCGCTGAAGTCGAGCGATTGGCTGAAAGTCACGAGCAGGCGCTCAAGGCATTGCAGATGCAGCTCGAAGAAGCGGACACTAAGCGGAAGGAATTGGAAGAAAAGTCGGTCCAGGACCTAGATAACGCCGCGAAATCCGCTGCTGAGCAGGGTGACGACAAGACTGCTGCTGCTTTTGAAGAATTGAAGGAGTCCCACCAGGCTCAGCTAGAGGCACTTGAGAAGGAGTTGTCTGAACAAAAGACCGCTGCAGCCGAGTATGGGGAGCAAGTCAGTACCCTCAAGCAGGAGCTCGAAACTCTTAAGGCCACTTTCCAGGAGGAGAAGGCCATGGCTCTCGAAGGTCTAGAGCGGGAACTCAAGGGACGCGACCAAGTTATCGAGAACTTGAACACGGAAATGCAGCGATTGGACGATGCCAAGGAACAAGAGGTGCGCACCGCCGAGGAGAAAGCCAAGCAAACCGTCTCGGGTCTTGAAGAGAAGGTTGCATCGCTCGAAGCCAAAATCAGTGAAACTGGACCCGTAGACGCAGAAAAGAAGGTTGAGGATGAGGCCTCGTCGTCAGAAGCTGTGGCTGAGAAGGAGAAGGAGGTTGCAGAGCTTAGGCACGCCTTGGAGAAGCTCCAGAGTGAGCTCGAAGAGACCCGCACAACGGCCGCTACAGAACTGAATGAGAAACTCAAGGAGTTAGAATCCAACCACGAAGCAGCAATTGCGAAGCTCAAGGCCGAACACGAAGAGACTCTAGCCTCTACTGCTGCATCCCACGCGCAGGAATTGGCTGTGGCCAAGGAGGTTGTCGAATTGTCTGACTCTACCGCCAAGTCTCAGGAGCTCCAGGAGCTTCGTGAGGCACTCGAGGCGTCCAATGCGGCTGCGCTTAAGGGACGGGAAGAAGCTGTCAGCGAAATCAAGACTGCACATGAGGCGGAACTGCAATCGCTCCAGCAGAAGCTTGAGACGTCCGAGCAATCCTTGGCCGATGCCAAGCAATCCGTTGAAGAGGGTGCTAGCTCCGGCCAGGAGGTCGAATCCCTCAAGGAGAAGATCGCAGCCCTGGAGACTCAATTGTCGGCCGGCGAGGAGACTGCTCGGAATAAGCAGCAAGAAGCAGAGGCACTGCAACAAAACCTTTCCGCTTTTGAGGAGAAGGCTAAGGCCAACGAGGAGCGGGCTGCTGCCGCGGAGAAGGCACTCGAGGAGCACACTCAGCAAGCTACTGGCGCCACTGAGGATCACTCGCAGGCCTTGGAGGCGTTGAAGGCAGAGCACACTGCGGAGCTCGAAATGGTCCGGGCCGAGGCTTCCGAATCTCACGAGGGTGCCCTGCGTGACATTCAGCTCAAGCACAACGACTTGATGTTGAAGCACCAGGACTTGGAATCCAACCATGGACAAAAGGTGGAGGCCCTTGAGGCCGAGTTGAAGACCATCCTGGAACGCCACACTAGTGATATTGCCTCGCAGACCGAGCTCCGAGAGAAGGAGGTTGCGGAACTCCAACAGCAGTTCGAAGAAACCAAGATCAGCTTGCGTGCTGAGGTCGAAGCAGCTCGATCATCTAACACTGCTGAAGCCGAGGCTGAGCACAGTAAGGCCATTGAGACCCTCCTTGGGGCCCAGGAAGAGAAGATGTCTAAGCTCCGTGCCGATCTCGAGTCTTCCAACCAGGTCAAGCTCGATGAGCTCCAGAAGTCTCACGATGATGTGTTGGCTGAAATTAAGGGTCAGCTGGCTGAGGCTCAGTCCGCAGCCCAGGACACCTCTGTGATTGACGGTCTCAAGTCCACGATTGCGGACCTCGAGCACAAACTGGCTGAGGCTGAGGCGAAATCAAATGCTGCCAATGATGAATTGACCACCAAGCACAGTGCTGAGAAGGCTGAGTTGGAGCAGAAGGCGCAAGCTGCCAACGCGCAAGTGGAAGAGCTCCAGAAGTCTCTCGGTGCATCCGACAGTGCCAAGGCTGAGATCGACAACCTCCTGAATCAACTTGCGGCCTCGCAAGAGGAACTGACCCAGCTGAAGACTAAGAGCGAGGCTGCCAGCAACGAGCTTGAACAATCCAAGACGCAGACCCGGACCTTCGAGGAGAAGCTCGCCCAGGGCGAGAAGGACCTGAACGACCAGATCGACAAGAACATGTCGCTGCTGAACCAGTTGGGTGAAGTTGACTCGGCAATTGCAGCCAGCCGCAAGCGTGTTCGCGAATTGGAAGCCGAGGTGGCGGGGCTGAAGAGTGGTGCCAAGGGCCTTGAAAGCAGTCGATGGGCGCCAGAGAACAAGGAGGACGCTGGTCCAGCCGCAACGGAAGGTGAGGACCTCGGTTCATCTATTGAGGGAACGGTGGGACATCCCTACTCTTCCGGACTTTCCATTTACCACCTTTTCCTTTAACATTTACGCCCCTTGTCCAAGTTCCCTCTTATTGACATTTTACTAATGAGAACGCGTTTGTTCGTTTTTCTCTTCTACTGTAGATGGCCAGCCTTCAGGAACAACTTAAGTTTATTCGAACGACCAACGATGACTGGTGCGATGAACACAGACGGTACCCTTCCTTTCTCCCTGTCTCTTGGGTTTATGCTAACGTATACAGACTCGTTACCGACCTCGTGCACTTATCCGAGAAAGTCACCGGCGAGAACAGCCACCCGTCGACCCCCCGTCCTGAGCTAATGTTGCAAAGTGGAAGTGAGCGATCTGGAGAGGCATCGTCGTAACCGGTCATGTTGGAGGAGATGGTGAACGGTGAATGGTGAACGTTTTGGGATGGTTTAAATAATAATTTCTTTTGTATCAATTAGACTTGTATGTGTGTACATGTAATATCGAGATGATGCTCAGCCATGCTTCTTTAAATTCGAGGATATTCTGGATCGCAGATGCTCAGATGTTCTAAATTCTTGTGTTTGAGATTTGCAACATACCCCGTGTATCACGCTTCTACGGACAAACGGGAATACATCCCGATCTAGAAATACACCTGTGTCGACTAACATCGACTGCTAAATAAACGAAACAATGAATTTCAACAAAAGGAACATTCCTTCGAGTCAAGATAACCTAACAATACATCTATGTAGCAGTAGTAGTAGCAGTATTTATGCAAACCTTCCGCACCACGGCGGGGGAAAAGAAAGGGCTATTTATCAATTTTCCAAATCAAGAACCCCATTTTAATGACCCTTTCTGACCAACTCCTCAAGTTTCTTCCGGCCCTCACCAATCTTCTCTTCCATCATCATCCGCGCCATACCACTGTGCGCAATGCCAGTGTGCCAGATATGCTCCGCCTTCTCCCTAAGCAGCAAATGGTTCTCCGCAACCGCCGGAACCCGCTTCTCATACTTCCAAACCAACTCGGAGACATTCCGCATAGTCACGGGGAGCAGAGACCACGCGGCCACGGTACCGAAAGCCAGAGGCGACGCAGAGCGCAGGATGAAGCCCCGGTTGCGGGAGACAATGGAGCCAGCCATGGCGGCGACTACCACGTACACACCACCGGGCATCAACCGCTCACCGGACTCGGGGGCAGGAGCCAGAGACGCAATGGTGTTGGTGAAGGCGTTCTCGATGTGCAGGGCCCGGCTGAGGAAGTTGTTGAAGCCGGTTTCCGCGGCGAGCGAGTTCTCATACAGGAAGAGACGGGCTTGGCGGACCTGGGTCGTCAGGATGTCTGTCGGGGTGGGCGACGAGGTCAACGACGAGGGGGCAGAGGACGAGGGGGTCTCAGTGGTGGACTTGGGGGCGTCTGGGATTGCGATGGGGGCGGATTTGGCGGGAGCAGGGTCTGAGGGCTCGGGAAAGTCATCGTAGATGGATTTTCTCTGCAATTGACGTATAAGATACCATACTTGACCATTTGGAGTGAAAGGAAGACATACCGGAGCCTCTGCGAATGCCGTCCGGCTGGGATAGAGCGAGATACCACCTGCCAGAAGGGTGGCAGCGATCGGAGCAACAGCCCGCTGCAGAGGTCAGTATAGGAATCGTAGCCAGAGAACAATGAAGAGCTCACCTGCTTCAACACTGGCCGGAATGACATTTCGACGAGTTAGCCAATGGCTTAAAAAGTATTATTGTGAGAGCGAGGTTCTCTGGGAAAGTGACGACCGCCGAAGAGAGGTTGCGCCAAGACTTTGTGCGGCTCTTTCCGGGGACGAAAAAAAGCCTCCACTACTACCACCACTAACCTCTATATCTGCGGAGTATTACAGTGATCAATGGGATAACTGATGAGCATCATGTTGGCGCTATATCGCCGGCCATGGACCTGCCGCCAATGTCTCCAACGATTACGCTCCCGACGAGCCTTTGCGACAGCAACCTCGACGGCCCCAGCGTCTGAGTACATTCCGGCATATCAAAGAACGCAGAAGAAGAGCGCGGACGATGCTACCCTGCGACGGGTCTTTGACTCGCAGGCGTTCTGGAAAGAATTTTCGCAGCGGAGTTCCGCAAGTCTTAAGCCGACCGGACTGGTGCAGAATCAATACTTGACAACTCCAGATGGATTCCGGGAATTTGCTGGTGTATCGCTGCAGAAATGCCAAGCGATCGTGGCCAGGGTCCTAGGGGCCTCGACGGTGGACGAGTACCGGAAAATGGCGCGGGATTTGGATCGTCTGAGTGACATGCTGTGTCGGGTGATTGATCTCTCCGACTTTATCAGGGTTATCCATCCGGACCCGCGCGTGCAGGAGGCGGCGACACAGGCTTATGCATTGATGTTCGAGTACATGAACATTCTCAACACGACTACCGGACTGCATGATCAGCTGAAAAAAGCGTTTGCGAACCCGGAGGTGACTTCGCACTGGAACGAAGAGGAGATGATCGTGGCGCAGATCTTGATCAAGGACTTTTCCAACTCCGCGATCCATATGCCGCCTAACGAGCGACAGCGGTTTGTGAACCTGTCCAACGAGATCAGTCAGGTGGGTTCGGATTTTGTGAACAACGCCGAACCTGCCAAATCTCATGTGGTTGTGAACACGAACAGTCTTCGTGGTCTGGACCCTATTGTGATACAAAAGATCAAGCGATGGAACCGGACAGCACCGGTGCCAACGATGGGGTTGATCCCCCGGTTGGCATTGCGGTCAGTTCATGATGGGGAAATCCGGAAGGAAATCTATCTGGCAACTCGGACATCGAGTACACGGCAAGTGCATCGCCTTGAGCAACTTCTTGCGAGACGAGCAGAACTGGCCAAGCTCTCTGGACACGAGAGCTTTGCGCACATGACGCTCAGTGACAAGATGGCCAAGTCGCCAGAAGCAGTATCGAATTTCCTGACGTCCCTGGTGGGAAGCAACCGGGAACATGTCCAGGAGGAGCTTTCGAAGCTCCAAAGCTTGAAGGGCTCTTCGTCGTCCCCTATGCAGCCATGGGATCATGCATACTACGTGCACCGACGGGTCATGGAGTATTCCCAGGCTCGACGTTCGCGAGAGCTCAATGCTGTCCCGGAGTTCTTCTCCCTGGGAACAGTCATGCAGGGTCTCTCGCGACTGTTCGACCAACTCTACGGAGTGCGTCTCGTCGCACAGGAAACTGGCCCAGGCGAGACTTGGAACTCAGACGTGCGACGACTAGACGTAGTCGACGAATCTGAGCGCCACATCGCAGTCATTTATTGTGACCTCTTCTCGCGCCCCAACAAACTCCCCAATCCAGCACATTTCACTCTCCGCTGCGCGCGCGAGATCTCCGCCGAAGAAATCGCCGAGTGCGCCTCATTAGCCGACTCAACGCACCACCCCAACGATGGCATGGCCACAGCCGTCGACACAACCACCAAAGCCCTCCGCCAACTCCCCACCATCGCGCTGGTCTGCGACTTTCCCGAACCCGCCGGCACAAGCGGCCGCCCCGCCCTCCTCAGCGAGCACAGCGTGCGCACCCTTTTCCACGAAATGGGCCACGCCCTGCATTCTATCCTCGGCCAGACCCGCCTCCAATCCATCTCCGGCACCCGCTGCGCGACCGACTTCGCCGAACTTCCCTCCGTCCTCATGGAACACTTCGCAACCGCCCCAGAAGTTCTATCCTTATACGCACGCCACTGGCAAACCGACGCCCCGCTGTCAGAATCCATGATGCGAAGCATGGAACTCGACCGCACAGCCCACGGCTCTATCTATGGCGCCGTCGAAAACGAAGCCCAGATCCTCATGGCCCTCGTCGACCAGGCGTACCACTCCGCACCTCCCGGCTCAGCTATCAACAGTACAGCCGTCTACCACGACGTCTTTAGCAAGTATTCTAGCTTGCCTGATCCCACTGACGCACAACCGCCTACATCGTGGCAGGGGTTCTTTGGGCATTTGTACGGCTACGGCGCGACGTATTACAGCTACATCTTCGACCGCGCGATTGCGAATAAACTCTGGGAAGATGTATTTCAGGGTGGCAAGGCTGCTGTGGACCGCGAAGCTGGGGAGAGATATAAGAATGAAGTGCTAAAGTTCGGTGGTGGAAGGAACGGTTGGCATTGTGTTGCTGGTGTGCTTGGAGAAAGTAATTCCTCGAATGCCGATGGGAGACTTGTGGAGGGTGGTGATGAGGCGATGCGTGAGGTTGGGAGGTGGGGGTTGGGAAGGGATGGGGTTTCTGGTTAGACTTGGCCAAGATGATATGGATGATCTATATTGTATATAACGGCCTGATCTGACTTGTATGGTACTGTATACAAATGGTGATGCTTCAGAAATGTTTGTTTAGAATAGTAACACAGTAAAGAATGAAAGTATGTCTCGTCTCGTGAATTGGTATCGCTAAGTATACATGCCCACAAGTCATAAGCATGGAATATAGCACCCATTCATTCATCAGCATTTCAATGGCCATGACATGACGCACAATCAAGCATCTCGATGATAATCAGACAGCCGGCGTGCAAGCTGCCAGCTCAGGATAAGCGTAGAGATTAATGGGCTTGCTGCTCGTACTTGCATGGCAGATGACAGGGTTGTTGCATCATAATCCCTCCTAAGTTGCAGATAACAGCTGTTACCTTGCAGAATTCGGTCGTCCAGTTGGAAAAATTGAAACTCATTCTTTTCCTTATTTCGCTACGAACTTGCAGGCATCTCTGTCCCAGTCGCAGGCGCAGGACTAGCGGAATTTGATGGTGACGGTCCAACTTTCGGCGGCGGAGGCAGTGGTGTCCCTCCCCTCGATGGCGCATAATCCTGTTCCCTACTCTTCTGCTCTCCTTCAGCAAAGTACTCGTCGAATCCACGACTGGGTGATAATGCAGCGTGGCGCGGTTTTCGACGTGCGGCCGCCTTAGTCCCTGATGGCGGGGGTAGGTTCCTGTTTGGAGCAGTAAACGGCGGCGGGGCTGGCATGTTGGCCGGGACCAGGAAGTGACCTCCGCCAGAAATACCTCCCAAATTTGGGTTGAAAGGATCAACAGCGACAGGCGTTGAAATGCCATCCTCTCGTGTCTCGAATACCACCTCGCCCGGTCCTTCAACTTCCTCTCCCAGCCCGACTGGTAGTCGATGTAATGCGCCGTAGCCCAGCTCTGCACCTAATGCACCTTCACCACCCCAGCCTCTCGTCGGTACAAGCTCGACTTCCCGGACCACATCGAATTCATCATTGTACACCCACAGCACGAGTGTTCGGTCTAGGTGATCCTCCACTAGTTCCCCGAGTGCTGACTCGCCTCGTAATGTGCCGCTGGGAGTTCCGATGATGTAGTCTGAATGGGGAAGCAAACCTGCACGGTATGCTGGGCTGAGCGGAGACGGGATCGAAAGGACGTGCCAGATATGTTGGGCCGAGGAGAGGGGAGCTAGTTGCAATGCGACTCCGAGGGAGGGGTTCACGGGGGAGATGGGGATCGAGACGGTGTGTGTTCGTTGGCCCTGTATTCCTCTTAGCCACTACGCATCTATAGATGAAATAGAGAGGTTTACCTTTGCGCTCCAGATGTCAAAGGTCACACTCGAGCCTGCGCAGTTGCGGACTTCGGTAGCAAAAAGGTTTGGGTCTGGGTCTTCCTGCAGCATAACATATCAGTATTAGACCAGAACGATTTTATGGTTACAGATCCACACACAATAGGATGTCCATTAATCCCAACAATGAAATCAAACCACGGCTCCAAGGGCAGCTCGAGGTCCTTGTTGCGCAGGACCTGGAAGCCAAAGGACGTGCTCTCCCCAGTGGGATTCCGCGGTTCCCGGGGTGCCTCGTCCAGACGACCGATGAAGCGATTCAATGCGCCAAACATGTTGCAATGTATCAAGCAGATCTGGGAAAAGAAAATCCTGGAGGTTCTCGGAGTAGGAGGAAGGAAGTAAACAGTCCCTCCGCCACGTCGGGTGCTCTCCCGGGTGCAAACAGGGCAAACACTCCGTCACATTATCAGTTTATCGCGACTTTCTTGCATACAAGTTTCTATATTTAATTGCTAGATAATTGAATAGAGCTTTCATTGTCTCTTACCATGGCTGACGATGCAGAAGAGATCCCTCCAGAGGTGCATCATTACAATGATAGGGGAGAGGTGCCCTGGGATATTCAAAAGTATGCTCTCCTTAACCTCGTTTATTGAATTGCAAGATACTGACAGAATCTAGTTACTGGTCCCAGCGCTACAAGATCTTCTCTCGATATGATGAGGGTGTTTGGTTGACCGACGATGCCTGGTTCGGAGTAACTCCAGAACCCGTTGCCAAGTTCGTCTCCCTAGTTCTCTCTGTGGATGATAACTAACACAGAGATATAGCAAAATAGCAGAGCAAGTTGCTGAATCTGCACCGGGTGGACGTAGTATCCTCGTCGATGCATTTGCAGGAGCTGGTGGAAACACCATTGCCTTTGCCCGGAGTGGAAGATGGAAACGAATCTACGCCATTGAAAAGGATCCGGCTGTGCTACGATGCGCCAAACACAATGCCAAGGTCTATGGAGTTCAAGATAAGATCACTTGGTTTGAGGGCAGTTGTTTTGATATTCTGAAGAACAAGCTCAAAGACCTGGCTCCGTATGGTATCATCTTTGCGAGCCCTCCGTGGGGTGGTATATCTTCCCTTTTATTTTGCTTACTTTGTCTGGATAAACTAACAATCTACAGGGCCAGGATATCGCCATGATCAGGTATTTGATTTACGTACTATGGAACCATACTCTCTGGCTACCTTGTACAAAGAGTATTCTGCTTTCTCAGAACATATGGTCCTGTACCTTCCCCGGACGTCTGATCTACGGCAATTGGCAAAGGTGGTCGAGGATGACCAGAAGGTGACGGTTATGCATTACTGCATGGAAGGGGCTAGTAAAGCGCTGTGTGTTTTTTACGGTGGATTTAATGTACAATAGAACGTAATCATAATAAGACTTGCTGGCTACATATGAATAGTAGTAGTATGGGCATTCATAGCTGATTGCCCGATATAGACTAGCGCCAAGCCTGCGCGCCTCCAACGCCGCGATTCTCTCTTCCCTCCAACAACTCACGCCCGTCGCTTTTCCAACGCCTTTTCTCCTTACCAAACAGCATCAGATCGGCTGGGTCTTGCCGTACTGGCCGATCTCAATGTGTACTAAGACTTGATCCCGTGACATTCCAGTCTCCCGCGCGATCACATCAACCCGAGCCTCAATCCGGTTCTAACCACGACCCACGTTCACCTTCATCGCCAGTTCCCCCAAATTATTGTCAGACAAAATGCCTCACGCCACCGAAGCAGGGGCCCCCGAGGTCGAGGATGCCGACTTCGATAATGTCATGCGACAGATGAACGGTCCCATGGAGGGGAACATGTCTTTCGACTTCTTATCCCGAGAACTGGATCCCGGCGAGAAAGCAGACGACGCGGTTGACTACGAAGATATCGAAGATGATGATGACCTTCCCGAAGAAGAAGCTGCGCATATTAGAGCCCCGGCGCCGGCAGGAAATGGTGTCGCTGCAGAGGATGACGAGATGAAAGATATGTTTGGTGGAGGTGAAGAAGATCTTTTTGGTGATGGGGGAAAAGAGCAGCCGGAACGAGCGCCAGAGGATGACTTGAATGACCTTTTTGGTGAAGAGCCTTCTGACCAGACTGATGTGACACGAGATTTGTTTTTCGATGAGGAAGAACACCAACAACCAGCACCGTCCGCCGTGCCAGAGCCTGCCCAACCTCCGCCTCTCGAGCCTCAGCCTGTCGTGATGGAAGAAGTGAAGCAGGAGGATGAAGATGAAATGGAAATACCAGAAGATGAGCCCCCCAGCGTCGAAGATATGGATCCGGCATCGCTTCGCGCATGGAAGCTCCAGCAAGCTCTGTTCGCCATGTCGTCCACCCTCGGCCCTGATAACCCGCCAGCTCCGCCTGAGAACTCTGAAGAACTCCTGCATTCGCTATTTCCTGGCTTCGACCGCCATACACTACCCCGATTCCTGGAACTAATCCCCCACAAGAAGGCTTATTTCGTCGGGAAACTGCCTCTTAAACCGCCAAGGCCTGTTCTGCCGACCAAGGTCAACCTCGAGCTTGCCCAAGATCAGGAGAGAGCTTTCAGATCAGCTGGACATGGTTTCAAACGCACGCTTGACGCTGAGCATATGGGGCTCGTGCCTGTTACTGAGTCCCCGCAGGGCGAAGAGGAGGAAGAAGAGGAAATTCGAGAGGACCTGGAGCACGACGTGGACTCGGCCGAAGTACTTCCCGGGGGAGTTAGTATGCAGGACCTAAGAGTAATTTGCACGGACTGGGATACCAAAGATGATGAGTCTGTGATGGACATTGATCTTCCAACCGAGGAACCGGAACAGCCTGTTGACGAGGATGATTGGCTCGTAGAGACTTCTCAGCCTGCGAAGAAACGCAAGGTCGGGAAAGACCCGATGGATTTCATTGCTCTATCTCACATTGACTTCCCGCTGCTTGATGATCCTGAGAAAGCGACTTCGCGGGTCGCCCAGAAGGTTACTGTCGACATGAACGATCCTTACATACTCCTCGACGAGCGTGGACCGGAATCTGCGGCACAGAAGCCAAAGGCCTTAGGAGCTATCCAAGGAGAAGAGGTCGATGCCAATGTCACTCGACGCTTCAACCAGCGATATAACATCTCGAATGATCAAGCGTACGACATGCTCAAGCAGAATCACCAGAACAAGATTCGAAGCACCTTGGGCAATTTTACTCTCGAGCACAGTATGCCAGCGCTGCGCTTACAGTGGCCTTACTACAAGACCGAGCTTGCCAAAGCAGAAGCACGATCGTTCCACCGTCCAGCCTTATCTTTCCGACCTGGTCAAACGTCCTGGTTCAAAAACCCTGCACACGTCAAGAGAAAGCACATCAAGGGCAAGGATCCCAGAGGTATCTTCGATTCTACGAAATCTTTGTCGCTGGCCGACAACTCAAATGCCATGCTGGTGGAATATTCGGAAGAAGCGCCTCTCATGCTGTCAAATTTTGGAATGTCCAACCGCTTTATTAACTACTACAGACGGAAAAATGCAGAGGACGACTCCCGTCCAAGAGAGCGTTTGGGTGAAACCGTGGTTCTTTTACCTCAGGATAAAAGCCCGTTCTTTATTTTCGGACATGTTGATCCTGGCGAAGTTACCCCGACGATTTCGAACACGATGTACCGATCTCCTGTATTCTCGCATTCGGCCAAATCAACCGACTTTTTGGTGATCCGCAGCAGCACTGGCTCCGGTGGCAGTGACTATTTCCTCCGAAACATCGAGAACCTCTACGTTGCGGGACAACAGTTCCCCTGTACCGACATTCCCGGTCCGCACTCGCGCAAGGTCACCACCGTCGCCAAGAACCGCATGAAGATGCTCGTCTACCGATTGCTAAAGAAAAGTCCCGACTTGAGACTCTCAATCAGCGATGTCACCGCGCATATCCCAGGTACTAGCGACATGCAGAACCGCCAAAAGGTAAAGGACTTCTTACAACACGACAAAGACTCGAAATACTGGGTACCCCTAGAACCAATTCCCGACTCCGACGCCATCCGCTCCTGGGTCCAACCTGAAGACGTCTGTCTGCTAGAATCTATGCAAGTCGGCCAACAACACCTCCACGACACAGGCTACGGCAACGACGCCGAAACCGGCGGCGGCGGTGACGAAGAAGACGAAGAAAGCGAGTCCTTCGAACAACAAATGGCCCCCTGGAAAGCATCCCGCAACTTCCTCCTCGCATCGCAGGGTAAAGCCATGCTGAAACTCCACGGCGAAGGCGACCCCACCGGCCGCGGCGAGGGATTTAGTTTTGTCAAAACTTCCATGAAGGGAGGCTTCAAGGCCGTTGGCGAAAGTGTCGAAGACAAACTCGACGCTCAACGCCTCAAAGAACTAGGAGGCCATAGCTACAACGTCGCCAGACAGCAAAGATCCTACGAAACCTCCATCCGCCGCATCTGGGATTCACAAAAAGCAAGCCTGTCCTCGACGGCCGAGCACTCCGAAGGCGAAAGCGACATCGACAACGAGGAAGAATATGGAAAAACGCCGCACTCAGAAGCACCTACACCCGGACCTGCTCGTCGTGACGACGAAACAACATCCCAGTTTAGTAAGATGAGTATGGGCATGGGAGATCAGAAGGGCAAGGTGCTGCGTATTGTAAGACACTTCAGAGACGAGACTGGCCAGATCGTTCCCAAGGAAACGCTTGTTTGGGATCCGAGGGTTATCAAGCAGTATATGCAGCATCGATTCCAGCAGGAAGCTGTGACCACGAAGTACACCACCCTTTTCAACCTCCTGCAAAATTGGATGATGCTAATTCTACTCCAGACTCGAATCCCTCCAACCAACCGGCGACCCGGAAATCGACGCCCGCAACAAGAGACTGTACGTCCTCCCTTCCTACCCTTTTCTTCCAAATAGAACTCCAACTAACCAGAACCCAAAACAGCCTCGAGGCCGAACTAAGCCGCCTAAACCGCAACAAAGAACGCCGCTTCGCACGCGAGAAGCAAAAAGGCGCTGTCCGTGGTACTACAGGCGACTCATCAGCCGACGGCGGGAAGCCAGCCGGTACGCAGCGCAAGTGCGCAAATTGTGGACAGGTTGGGCATATTAAGACTAATAAGAAGTGCGTTTTTCCTCTTCTCTTACAATGAAATGGAGAAGTGATTAATGCTAACTATGACCAGACTATGTCCCCTTCTTAACGGTACAATGAAACCGGAAGATCGGATTGCGGATTCGGCTTTTGCGATGGGTGCGCCTCCTGCTATTTAAACACTCCTTCTCTTCGATTCTTCTAGTGATACCCCTCTCCTTTTTTCTTTTCCCTTCTCCTTCCTCCAATGTCTTTATGAATATTTGCCTTTATACTCGGTACATTCATTGCTGCATATTTTGTCTTTTTATCGTTTCCTAGGCATGGCCATGAGTGCTGGGCAAATTGGAATGCAAATTTTGGTGTTTATTCAACGTTATTCAGGTCTAATCCTGTGCTTCAACTTGACATCCGAAATCATTATGTACTCGAACCCCTGCTTCTATGGTACAACAGGCGTTAAGAATAATATCAGGTTCACTTTTGCGATGGCTCATCCGTCTAGAAATGTCTAATGATATATACATGCTCTTGACTGGAACAATACGTCCAAAACTCCAAAACTCCAAAACTCCAAAAAGGTATCCAAAAATTCGGTCCATAACGCATTGACAAACACGCACAAACGTGACCCTTGATAACAAAGATGACCACTAGGTATAAGAATATGGACATACTTCAGCATCCGTACAAATCTGACAATTGCCCTCTCGACACCAGCGGTCGTCCCCGTTCACCATTCAGCGCCAATGCCACAGGCTTTGGTCGACGATAGGTATACCCCAGAAACGCATCCTTTTGCCGCATTTCGAGAACTGCCTTTCCAACCTGCTCATCCCGCAAGATCTTATCCCGGGCTCTGCCCTCCTTAGCTCTCTTCTTTTGTGTCTTCGCTCCACATGGCACTTTGTTGGTCTGCGCCGCAGCCAGAGCCATCTCACCGGGGGTCGCCTCAGCGGTCTGTGAAGGAGCCTCTAGAGCAGTTTCCGGCGCGTTGGGAGTGTTGCCGTCCGGAGGTGATTGAAATGGATCCTCGAAGTATTGAGTGTCATCCCAGTCCCGAACTACAGGAATGAAGGGCGGCGTTGACCGATGAAGCGCATCCCAATTGATCCCGCGAAAGAAAGGGTGCGCCTTGATATCGCTTGCATCGTTGGGACAGACATACATGCCTCGATAATTCCGGTATCGCGGGTCCATGCCTTTGAAAAAGCTCCTTTCTGCCAGATCGTTGAGTCGGTAGTTGCGAGCAGATAGGCGATACTCTTTTTCCTGAAGAAGTTGGCTTATGAGGTCAATGGCATCAGTTGATACGAACTTGTCAGATAGTCTCTGCATCGGGAAATGCAAGATTTGGTGGTGATTCTTGACTCGTTAGCCTCCATAAACAGTATTAATCACTCTTCTCAATGCCACTTACGACTATCTTGAGCTTCGTCGTGAATCGGTCGTCCGATACAAACGGCGTGAACCCATAAAGACACTGCCAGTGTCAGAAGGCCCAATTTCTCATCTTTAGTAGGCTCTCACCTCGTATAAAATGATGCCAATACTCCACCAGTCACAACGACCATCATACAGTTTTCCTTTGACGACTTCAGGCGCCATGTATTGGCTGGTCCCGACAACACTTCTAGCAAGCCGCCGCCTCTGATGCCTATCTCTCCATCCGAGAAGGTCAAATGCCGGAGGTTCACGTGAATCAAGCACTGTTTCCAATGCCTGTTTGGCTTTTTCTTTATCTTCCCGGTCAGTAGCATCGCCCTCGATTTGGATTCCAAGCTTCTTGATCAGGGAGTATCGGTGGTTATTGTAGTAACCCTGGTCATGAGCCCAGTGTCCGTCAAACGCCAGTCCAAAGTCTGCGATTTTTAAATGACCAGAAGCAGAGATAAGGAAATTATCGGGTTTGATATCGCGGTGAATCCAGTTAAGCTTGTGAGATTCTTCAACGCAAAGAATCATCTCAGCAATATACCACTTTGTTATGGGTTCTGGCAGAATGTTTTCACGTATCAAGAGACCAAGAAAGTCGCCGCCAATCATATACTCCATGACGAGGTACAAGTTCTGACTGTCTTGAAAGCTTGCAACTAACGGCACGACCCAGCGAGACTTTGCGGATGCAACCAAAAAGTCCCTCTCAGCTCGTAGATGACCCTCCTGGCTGCTACGGAGCATCTCGGCTTTCTTGATAACCTTCATGGCGTAGATCCCTTTCACGCTGGTCGTTTGCTTTCGGTGGCCGTTTCTGCCATCAGCCTTCCGTGCTCGAACGCTTCTCGCCTTGATCTCATCCATTTTACCATTTTCGATGGCCGAAGGATCTCCTTCGCTAGACCTGCTACATTCGTCCCTCTTCTCCCTCACCAGGCTGACAATGCCGAAACTTCCATTTCCGAGAATTTTGACGATCTCGTAGTTGGCAACAGAGGCTGCTTTACCAGGAGATGCATTGTGACAGCGAGTTTTGAGAACCCGATATTGACGAAGGTACTCCCTTTCTTGTCCAATCCAAGCTTTCCTGGCCGTCTCTTGCTCTTCTGGTGTCAAGCGTAACGAGTAGATGTATTTCTCTAGCTCAATCCGACGCTGTGACCTTGAGTTGACGTGCGAGAATACGGCGTTGAAATACGTTTCGAAAAATACCTTTGCATTAGCAGCTGCTTCCACGGTGACAATAGACGGGGGCGTGTTCGGTAACGCCTGGACTGAGGTGCACTTCTTCTGTGGCCGGCTACACTCATATAGCCCTTCAGTGTCTGCTGTTGTCCGGAACAGAGATATCGAGTTGCCAACTGGAGCAGCAGATTCGTCGGATTTAGATGATGTTGACTCTGGATTTGAGGGGTTAGACGACCAACAACCGACACTGCTGGGACTGGTCGACGGATTGGAACTATCAACAGCGTTGTCGCCTTGCTTGCTGAGAGGGTCAGTCACCTCTGGGTGTTGAACAGCCCAGATACTGGGCCTCGTCTGCAGGTGTGAACGATGAACGACGGTCGAGTTGACAAAAGCCGTGGACAACCTGCTCGATAACAGAGCCGAGAGGTTCGAGTTCGACTGAGTCTGTTGGGCCTGCGTCTTACCGGAGTCATCCATGAGAGCTCCCTCAGCCCCCTGCCAGTCCTCTTTCTGCTTTTCACTCTGTGGAGCCGTCGAGTTTGATGGTGATTCCGGATCTGGGGAGGTAGGACTATGGGGCAGAGAAATGACGGGAGCACTCTGTGGACGAGAGACAGTATTCTGTCCAACCAACGCGTCCTTCGCTGCAACCGGTAATGAAAATCGAGAACCGCCCTGCTCGAGATTTGAAGAGGCTCTAGACATCGGACTCGATTCTTTGGCCACTGTATCTCAAGTCAGTAATCGTAAAAGATGGACTTCTTGGGAAACAAAACCGTCTTACCATTCGATGAATCACGACGAGGGCGAAACAAAGTCAACAACTTCGAACTGCTTCGCTGAAACCTAACGCTGAGTCTGTTCCGGCCTTGCATCACAACGACATCGGAACTAGATCCATTCGTAGTCGTTGAGGCTCCTGTAGACCGCTGCTCGTTGCCCTCTGCGGCCTTGCTAGACGCCCAGATTCCCAACGGACCTCTGGAACTCCTGTCAGGTCCCGAGTTGGCTGTCATCTCGCTGAGTACTGGCAGTAAATGAACGAAAGAGGGTATGGATTCGATATACGGGTGTTGCTATTCCTTGGTAGTGGTTGGTTAACGATCGTATGGATAATGTGGTGTAATCCCGTGAAGTGTCACGCTGGACTAGAGGTCAATCCAGGTTGTCGAAAAATAAATTTCCAGGGAAAGTTGGATGCATCAACTGCGGTAGTATAAGGAAGGTGCGCAGGCGGCAACTGCACCCAATGCGGAAACTACGACTGCAGACCGTCCGTCGCGGAAAGAACATTAGGGCTTCGGGCTTCTTTGAGTGCGAAAAAACTAGACCAGTATTTCTCATGAGCCAAAGCTGTATTAGGAAGACCAGAGTTATTTATGCCAAGTACACACAGCCATGTAAAGACACGAAAGAAACAATATCAACATACACGCACACCCCCTCAAGGCTCGTAACTCGAACCGAGAGATGCTGAACTCCTTGCGATATCCTCATCCCTGCTGAATGCATCGGAAAGCTGTGCAAGAAACAAAAAGAACAAGTCGGATATCACAGGAATTGATGCAATTGGAAACCCCCTTAAAACACCATTTTTAGACAAAACAAAAACAGAACAGCATAATGTTGCAAGACCCAAATTAATCTATCTATTTGATCTCAAGGAGCTTGACGTCGAAGACCAACTTCGAATTGCCCGGGATGCCGGGAAGAGCCTTCTTGCCGTAAGCGAGATGCGGAGGGATCGAGATGCGACGCTCAGCACCGACAGCCATGCCAGCAACACCGATGTCCCAGCCCTTGATGACTTCGCCCTTACCGAGCTTGAAGCTGAAAGGCTTACCCTTCTTGTTGGCTGATTGAGACATGTCAGTATCAAATAATAAGCATGAGGAAGTAGGATATTGATCACATACAGTCAAAAACCTTGCCGTCTTCGAGCTTGCCAATGTATCTCATGGAGACATTGTTTCCGGACTTGGCAACAGGGCCCTTTCCGAGCTTCTTGTCGTCAATGGTGACGCCGTTGACGTTCTTGACGCCAAGGGTACCAGTGGTCTCAGACTTTTTGTCCTGCGATGAAGGAGTAGGGCCCTGCTCAAGATTCTTGGCGAACTGAACCTTCTTGCCTTCCTTGGCCTCCTTGCCCTCCTTAGCGTCCTTGGCTTCCTTCTTTTGCTCAACCTCAGCAGCCTCGCCGCTGTTCTTCTTGAGCTTCTTCTGCTGCTTCTTGCTCAGACCCTCTTCAGACTGGGCCTTCTTGTCCTTAGCCATGAGGTCTTCCAGGCTCGCCTCTTCGGCGGCGCGCTTCTTGCCCTTGTCGGCCTTCTTCTGGCCCTTGGCCTCAACAAGCTTGGGAGCTTCCTCCTCACTCTCGACCTCGGTGACTCTGGGGTTCTCCAAGCCGTCGAGCTCGTCATCCTCGTCATCCTCATCCATGATGTCGTCCATGTCCAATTCATTCTCATCGGGAGAGAGATCATAGTCATCCTCGTCCTCCTCATCGCTGTGGTCATGGTCGTGGTCATCAACAGGCATGACGTAGTTACCAGTCAAGTAGACACTGTGAGTACCGGTGACCTTGAAGAAGATGGGCTCGCCCTCGGCGACAGTGATGTCAAGAGCTTGCTGGTAGTGCTACAAGAGAAAAGGCTGTGAGTTTCCATGTCGGTGCAATGACCTTGTAAGTGTCAATCTTACCTTCTCCGGGTCCAGGGTGCAAATAACCGCCTCGTCGACGTCCAGGCTCTCCTCGTCCTCATCGTCCTCCTCATCGTCGTCAGTAGCAGGGCCCTTGCCCTTGACAAGCTTGGAGATGGCGGCCTTGAGGTCGAAGTCCTCATCGTCATCATCATCCTCGTCCTCGTCATCATCATCCTCGTCCTCGTCCTCTGCCATCTCCTTCAGAGCAGCAGCTTCCTTGAGCTTGCGGGCCTTCTCCTTGTCGCTAGGGCCGCCATTGGACTCCTCCTCATCATCGTCTTCTTCATCATCGTCTTCCCAGTCGTCCTCCTCATCCGACTCTTCAATGTTCATTCCAGGAGGAGGGCGGATAAGCTTAAGAGTAGCACGGGGTCTGCTGGGGTCGATTCCATCCTCGAGCTCGGGGGTCTCGTCGGGGTCAATGGCAGCCATGCTCACACGGAACTGGTACAACAATTAGATTGAGTTCCACATAATCATCCAAGGTATGCGACGAGGTACTTACCGAAGCCGCGGCCTGGGGAACAGCAGGAATCAAGACTCCCCCAGTGGGAACCTTCAAGGCATAGACTGCGACAGGACGAATAGCAGACATTTTGGATGGATATTACTGATAAAAATGCAAGAAAAAGAATGAAAGTAGTAATAAAGCAGGCAGTAGCAGCGAGAGTCTACCAGTCTAGCCTAAATGGTATAAATAGTCCAACAACAGAAAGAGAGGAAAGATTTTTCGCGCGCGAAAGTCGACCTGAAGAAAAAAGGCGGGCGGTGGAGTCTTCATTTTTTACTGCCGTCTAATCACATGACTCGCCGCCTTAGATCCACCGAGATTTTGTCAACATACACCGCCTGCAGTATGGAGATCATCGCGTGTTTCGTTTCTCCAATAGTTCTCCAACACTGAACAACTTGGCCACCTCACTTCAGAAGATGTGCGCTGCCTTCTTCTCATTGACGCCAGAGTCTAAAGTTCAACCGATGCGTGACCACAGCCAAGTAGGTCATTGTGTATAGACAATCCTCGTTATGGCCGAAGCCTCCAGGAATTGCTTGCTATAAAAGGCATGCGTGCGGTTGATATGGTCAATGCCACCACCAAATCGTGTTGTTGTCAGAAGCTGCACCAGATCTCTCCGTATTCTTTTTCAGAGTCGAGAGAATCAACTCTTTGCAGTATCCATTTGCGAGGCTTTAGCTCCGTCATTCTTTCAATCAATATGTTCAAGTGTGACCCGTGCCGGTTAGAAACCGGCGTTGAAATGACACGCAGGCATGCTACAAATATTGCGCTGGGCCTCTCCTTATAATTCTACTGGTTGCCATCATCTACGCCCGAGAGCTGGAGATGTATACCCAGGTCTCCCAAGCATCCTCTAAGCTACATTTAGGGTTTACAAAATAATGCGCACAGGCATGGCTTGGGTAGTCTCAACCCATAGCTGATAACACACCGCTATCGATATTCTAGAGCGTTCGACTGATGGTTGCTTCGTATCCACGCAAAATCATACAAAGTATGTTCTAGCTCAAGCTGCGAAAGTAGGGAAGAGCTACAAATCATCTGAAAAAGTCGCCATCACGCTAAGCGATACACCGCCTGCGATATTGATCATTTTCACATGGTCACTGTCTACATACTCGGCTGATATCACCTCGCCTAAGCGAGTATCGCTTAAAGAAGATATGCAGGGACGGCACATGTACTAACGTATGGCACATATGGCGCAAGGTATCGACGGCCTGTCATCGGTGATTTAAAATGCACTGCAAATGGCCACTTGCAGCATCCTTGTTCAGATCGTGGTCTCTCAGCTCTTTTTTAATCCCCCTAACTTTACTCCGTACAGATACAGACAATGCATTTTAGTTACCCTCTTGCCCTAGCGGCAATTACGGCAGCAATTCCATATCAAGGCCAAAATGGCGCAACAAACCGCAAGCGCGGGATCCCTTCCATCCCAAATCTCCAAATCCCCCGCGGGGAGAAATTCATCGGAAGCCCTGCAACTGCAAAACCCCTGCGGCATAAGCCAGTATACGAACCCAAGGCGATAAATATGCACCAGGATAGCGGCAACAGCGGCACCATCGACTATCCGGGACCCCTCGGAAAGAATCTTGAGGTTACCACTGGCCTGGCTTTGCATTATTCCAACTATCAGCTGCACAATTGTTTCAATTGCTAGCGATACGTCGATACTCTAGTGCAAATTATGCGTGACTATCCAGCAGTATGCTTCTTCGACAGACATACCGGCTGAATCCGAGTGAATCCATCGATTTTCATAAAACGTTGGCTTGCAAGGCCGACAACATTTGGCTCGGATAGAGATACGATCCCCCGTTTCAGATGCTTTTGGGGGTCGCCCATGCTTTTTGACCTTTGTTTTTATTTGGATACCCAGAAATTTGTAGCGTTTCTGACGGCGGGTACACTTACAGGAATGGTAACTCCACGACCCCGAGCATAAGGTGACCCCAAGGGACTGTAGACCGCAGAAAGTGAGTGATTCTGCTTTGAGAACTGGAATCTTGTGTGTATACTGAGAGGTACGAAAGCCCAGTGAGCTAAAACAGCACAAACAAAGTTTTATACTCGACGTCTCCATCGGATTTACCAGGGAATTCTATGCGTGTTTGAATAACCACCATCCAAGCAGTCTAGCAGGCGTGGGACTGCCATGACCTGACCTTGAAGACAGCCTAACCGCTCATGTCTCCAATATTGCGCACTGAACTAAGAAACGCTGCAGAAACCGAGCTCTAGGCGAGGGTGCATGATCGTTTCGTTGTAGACTTTCTTTCCAACAATTCGGTGGAAGACAAGAATAATGCTAGCGAGGTCGTAGACGATTTGGTCGTATGTCCAGCGTTAAGCTAGTCGGTAACTGGTATAAATTCTGTATATAATGTGTCTATCAATAATCATACTGCTCGTCCCTGGCCAGTTCCTGCGATCCGGAATCCTTCCTCTCCAAATATACTCGTTTCCATCGTTCGTGCTTTTCGAAGAGGATACGCCAGTTTTGCTAGCGTGGTAGAATGCGATGTCGGGTATGATCGTGTATAGGGAAGAACCCGGATAACTATCGAGGAACGAAGTATTCCACCATAGGTTCAACGTCCTCATATCGGACACATCAGAAACTCGTAGTAAAAGGATCAACCGTATGTGATATATAAAGTAACTATTTGTTGGACCAATGTCAGACAACGTATATATATATATATCAAAAAGCGCTATAGGGAAGCGATATAGTGGGATACAGAAGTGGTTTGTTATATATAGAGATCAGAGATAAGTGAAGAGGGAAGAGTGGCACATCGAAAAGTTTCCTTGGTATTGAATAAAAAGATATTTTCCCATTGTTCAAACAGTCCACATAGAATATTTCAGGGCAGCAATACAAGGGGAAATACTATGCAAAGAGCGGCATCTCAAATGAGTCCGAATTAGGAAACGCAGGGCTATACAAATGCAGCCAGGCATACTATGTCAAATTCACTAAAAGTGCCAAAAAGCTGAAACAGCGTCAGAAATCGAGACACTTTCCTACGGAGTTTCTAGGAAATAGAAGATTATGATCGTCAGTGGCGATTGTCAATCATGCTATTGTACCATGGTTCCAACAGGGGCAGACAAGTCTATACAAGAATGACTGTTTCAGGTCTAAGAATATCAAAGCATATTTTTAAGCATGTTCAGGTTTAGTCTCAGACACAGAATATCCAAGTACTGTCGGTACCCTCATTCCCTCACCCATTCCAAAAAGGAAAACGAATGTATAAGTAACCAGCTCTCATAGCCAGATTTAACCAATGTAGGCCCAACCAGCCTGGCTAGGTTGACCACCCTGCACCAAGAATCCCTCCTCAGCCCAGAAATAAGCATACCGAGTAACCGTCGACTGTCTATCCAACCACGGCTGCACCTGGCGCAGGAAATCCGCAGAAGCACTCGTCAACCCACCGCTTGAGATGTCCGTGGTAAGTGCAAACTCAGTAACCCAGACCTCTTTGAGCCCCTGCTCGTTGGCAAGGTCGATGGCCTGCTGCACAAATTTGGTGAATTCACGAGGTTCGGTCCCGTACCAGTGCACGGCCATGACTCCGATGTCGCAGTCGGAGCATGAGCCCAGGAACTCGCGCATCCAGGATAGTCCCTTGTCTGCGTCCCCAGAGTTGGTAACGGCCGGGGAGACCAGTGTAGCGCGGCCCGCGTAGGGGGTGATGAATTGTTTGAAGGTGGAAGCAGCGTCGGAGACGGACATGGCGGCTTGATCGGAGAGGTCGGGCTCGTTGAAGCCCATGATGTACTTGCTGCTACTGCCGAAAAGCATGGTTTCGATGTTGGCCACGAAGTCGGCAATGGACTTGGTGCCCCAGAGCATAGGGACGAACTCGACGCCGTCCGGGAGGGTACCGCCGGGGGTTGCGGCCCAGTTGTAGGCCCAGGAGATGGCACCGTTTACGTCGAGGTCGTGCACGGCGTCGATATCGGTGTATGCGGCACCGCGCTTGGAGTGCGTGGCCGTCTCATTGCCGTTGGAACGACGCAATGGAGGGGGTAGGGCAAAGGCCGTCGACGCCAGAAGGGCCGTCGAAAGAAGGTTCTTCAAAGAGACCATATTGGAAAGGAATGCAAAAAGAAAAAAGAATCGAAGCGAGAAGCCTGTCTCGGAACTAGAGAATGACAGAAAGAGCGAGCGTCAAGCCGCAACGTGCACTGCACGAAATATAGTAAAGAACGAGGGAAATGAGTGAGAATGAACGAAGAATGAGAGAATTGAAGGCAAGGAGAGAAAAGAATCCGTGGGTGGTGGTGTGTGGTTTATATGCCCGGGGAAGAGAAGGCCGGAGGGCAGCCATGGATCAATCACTCTGGATTATTTGATTGCGATTCACTTTGACCCATGATTCCTGGCTTAGAAGAGGGTCTCTTGTTTCGAATTCTTTATTCTTGCCGCTATCATCGCTGATTGGGCTGTTATTCAGTCCGAATGCACCGGAGGGCGTTCATATCGTTGATCTTCAACACTCCTAGCGCTCACGCCAGCACATTCATCACCAACAGTATCCTATACTCAACAAGCAAGCATGCACTCCCCTTTTGCCATCATTCTCGCAAACAACTCTGCAGAAAAGAGGGGTGTGCCTCCTTGTCCCAAATCCTCGCCGGACTGACAATCCGTACCAAACTTGCGCATTCCCGGCACAGCCGCTCATTGGCAAAAAAAAGCACCCGCCGTGGAGCCAAAAACCGGCCAGAACAGAAAGAATTGTCAGTGTTCCATTGGAAATGCAGTGGAATCCTTTTGGCAGCCAATGGTTTCTATTGAAAAAAGGCCCACTGGCCAGGAACACACAATGTAGTAACCGAGGGGCACTTCCATTACAGTTAGGGTTGTATCACAGGTACTTATACATAGTACCAAGAAAAAACAGTAAAGAAAGGCCCAAAAAATAGAAACACGTTACTTCCGACTCTCCAGCACCCCCATTACATCCGATGCATTTTCCTTGTCTCCCTTCCTCTTCTTTGGTCCACGCTTCCTCTTTTGTCCCCCACGGCCCCCCTCTCCTTCTAAGCCAATGAATTCTTCGTCCTCCTCGTCCTCGATCCGACTGCCTCCGAAACCCATGTCCATATCCATAGCATCCTGCGCCTCGCGACGCCGCATTTCTTCCAGAAATCGCTGACCACGGCTGTCGTCTTTCTTTTCTTCGTCTCCACCAGCGGATGGTGATGCTTGGCGTAGCGCGGCTGCTCGTTTGAGCGCTGCCAATAAGGAGGGGTCCCGGGTAAGTGGGTTGGCTCTGGCACGGCCCTCGTCTTCTTCTGTGGGTTCATCGTGCGTGGATGTCGAGAAGTAGTTCCGTGGTCGTGATGGCTGAATTGGTTCTATAGACGGTGGCGCAGGCTCTATAGGCGTAGGTTTCTCCGGGGCTTTCTCGGCAACCTGTCCCTCCTCGTCGGAGTCAGACGAGGAATCGTCTTCACCGATACCTGCCAAAGGATTGTAGTCTGCACCCACTCCCTCAAAGATGTCATCGTCCTCATCTTCTACGGAAGCAGCAGCGGCAGCCGCCTTCGATGCGACTTCTGCAGGTACCTCCATGCCCAGCGGTTTTGCATCTTTATCAGGCACCAACAGACCGTTAGATTCACTGGGCTTGTCCAGCCATCTTGTCTTCCGTTTCGTATTCCCTTTTGCATCGGTAGTGAGAAGGACCTCCCTCCGCCGACCGTTCTCGTCTGTCTCCACCCACCGCTTCTTCTCCGGTCTCGACTCGCCCAGTTTCTTGAACTTGGATCCCAGTGTCGACTCCGGCAGTGGGGCAGGTTCTGCGGCAGGAGCTGCGCGACTTGCTTTCAGTTGTCGTAGAATCTCATCCCGGGATTTCTTCTGCTCCTGTGCAGGGACTGGCGGCGGAGCCATCGTCCCTTTTTTCTTCCCATTCTCTTTCGAAGCAACAGGGGCAATATCCTCATGTCCTTTCTCCTCCATCACCCGCTCAAACTCCGCCTCCAAATCTACCTCTTTCTCCTCTGCCCCGTCTCCCTTTCCCTCTCCCTCCTTCTCTTCCTCGTCCTCCTCATCCTTCTTAATCCCTTTACTAACATCCTCCCCCGCCCGAACCCTCCTAAGCAACGCCCAATCCAACCCTTTCACCATATGCGTACTCCCCACATCCCCCCCAACTCCCAACTCCTCCCGTAACTTCTCAAACGTTCCGGCATCAATCTTCCCCTCCTTCATCAACTCCTCCAGCGCTGTAATACGCTTCTCAATATCTTCCCCGTTATCGTCTTGTGATTGTCGTTGTTGTGTGCGGTCTTTGTAGCCGGTGGGTAGTTTTGTGCCTTTTGGCGCGGCGCTGGATTTGAAGCGTTTGGTCGGCGGTTGTTGTCCTTCGCGACGGTAGTCGGTTAGTTGGCGGGCGAAGTTGGGGGCTGTTAGGGAGCGGCTGTTTTCGCATGTCAATTAGTATCTCGATCTTAATCTCAATGTATACTTGTGTAGGTCGGGGAAAGCGTACGGTGTCATAGGAATGCTCGAGCGCATTCGCGAGCCCAAGGCTGGCGTCGCATTACCGATGGCTCCATTTTTATTACCGCTTGAGCTGGGGCTCGTGCTGGGGTTGGCGTTATCTTGGATGAGGCGACGGAATTGTTCGTTGTTCATGGTGTTGGTGCTGGGCTAGTTCTGTGAGCTAGGTAGAGAATTTCGCACGCGCGAAACGTCAAGAGGAATTTGATTTCGTAATATATGGAATGGACGGTGTAGAATTTGAAGAAATAGAGAAAAGGGTATTTCAAAGAACGCTACCGGTCACTGGACCAAAAGTCGTGGTAATGTCGTCGAAGAAGGTCGAATTGAACTTCGCGCTCCGGATTTATGACGCTGTCTTGGCATCGCTACGCTCCGAGCTTTACAAGCCCAACAGTATACAAGATTCCATTGCTTGTGATATCTATTTGTGTGTACTTAAATCAAATATGTCCATTACAATCATGTACTTGACTAGAAACACAAGGTAGACACCATTTCATTCACAAATGCAGAAATTCCCCATAGATACACTCATTAGATAGTCTCCCATCCCCCGTTATTAATATCAGCCTCCAACTTCCTACTAATAGTCGCCGGAACACCATGCGACAGCCACACATCTCTCAGCAGTCGGTCATACCGCTTCTGGTTGAGGATCAACTGACGGTTACGTCGCAGGCCGGGGTCGACTTCACCGTGTCGGTCGAGGTACGGAGCAAAGTGCCACGAGCCGTTGTGGTTGTGGAGGTAGAGGACGGTACATTTGCGAATGTTGATGAAAAGGCCGATGTTCTTGCCGCACCTGGAGATATTCTGCGTTAGCTTGAAGTTGAAAACAAAAGGGGGTTATGGAGGGAAATTACTTTTGAAGATGCTGGTTACATCCACCCAGCTTATCCTTTATACAGCACACGGCCTGCGAGCAGAAAATGTCTCCGCAAAATAGACAGATGCTCGGGTCGGTCAATTCCTTCTTCGAAGTCGGGCATCGTCGGCGGTTAGCCTCTTCGATCAGACTATCGAAGTACTCGGGCAATCCAATGAGTTCGAAGATCGCCGGGTGAGAGAGACTGGGCAGTTTCGAGTCACCGGCACGACCAAACGCATTGAAGTGGTGGAGCCAGCCAGAAACCACTGCATTAAACGGCTCATTCCTCTGCGTAGGGTTCACAAAAGGGAAAAGTTCGTCAAGCGACGGGAGATTCAAGGCCCTCGTAAGGCGGTCGAGTTCCGTGCTCTCGTCGAGCCCGGCGTTAGGGAATTCAACGCCATGCTGCACATGCAACAAGATTACCGTCTTGCGGAGGAAAGTCAACGCATAGCTCGTTATCAAGCGTCTCAATGCAATAACCACTCCAGAGGTCGCAGACCCTTCGCCTTCCTTGGCGTAGCCAAAGTCCGCCGAGTTCGCGCGCAGACCAGCCACGACAGAATCGAAGAAATACCTGGTGGAGCTGAACGCTTCGTCGGACAGTTCGACATCCATCAAATAGCGCGAGTCCCCATTATGAGCAAGCTCTTTCTTAAGTCCGCGCGGCTCAAGAATGTAAGTGACAGCAACCTTGACAATCTCTGCCACATAACACATCTGCACCAAATGTCGCACATCGATTTGCAGAACCGGCAGGAGCGAAAGCGAACACTCAGCCAAGAATACGAAAATATCCTTAGAAAGCAACGACTCGATCTCACCCGCACGATCTGGAAGCGAAGTCTCAGCCAAACAAGGATGACCCACGAATAACTGGCAGATCTTCTGGCGATGCATGTCCCGAAACTCCACTGCAGAACGACTAATCGACCCACCATTGTTGTGCAGGGATCCAACTGCAGCGTAAGACAGCGCCGTCTCCGCTAAGACACGCAAGTGAGTAAGTGTCAACTGGGGAATTTTGTCCAGTAGAGTTGCGCCAAACTCGGACTCCACGCCACGCTGCGAAATTTCCACGGAGGCAATGCTGAACCCGAAGCTCCGGATCAACGAGTCAGTGTGAACCAGGGCATCGCCTGTCATGATGTCCGTGGGATAGTTGAATGTCGACTGGACTTCGTTCAACTGTATCGTCTTCTTCAGTCGCCTGTAAATCTGGAGCAGTTCGGACATCGGGCTATCACCGGGGCTAGCAACCTGCGGCAACGGGCTAGAAGCCGTGATATCTTCCGTAGTTGGGAACAGGCCCGGCATCGGCATCCGCGCAGGTGGGACATAATGAGCTGTCGATGGGAGAGACGATGACATGAGCTGCTCAACCTTGGCTGCAACAGGAGGTACCAGCGTCTTGGACAGGTACTCGGCAAACAAGTCCTGATACGACTGCAGTTGCGAATTATCGTCACCCGTGAGGAGTGCATGGTTCCGTGGCTGTGTAAGGGCAGATCTCACCCCTGCATCAATGAATTCGCCAAAAGAGGTAGAAACATTCAGAGCACCAGGGTAGGACTCTTCCTTGCCCTTCCAGGTAATCGGAAGGAATGCATTACCCAGGGCTTTGCAGAGGGGACAAACAAATTCCTGACAAGTCAGACGCTCTGGGTGGTTTCTAGCTATTTGCTGGGTGTGGCGCCTCTGTGTCGCAGTGTAGTACACTTCAAAGCACGAGTAATGCATGATATGACCGCAACCAGTCGTGACAGGGCCCCGGACCATATTCTCCGCATTGAACCCCTTACTCAATCCAATCTTCTCGCTTATAACCTCCCCACCTGACGAATCCAATCTTCGTACCGTAGAGTGGTTCTCGCCTGCCACACCAAATGGTCGAAGATGATCCGCAGACATATCCAAGCTAGGCGGAGTCTTGAGGACTTCCCTAATCCAGTCTGGATCACTAACATCTGTCTGTCTCAGAATACTGCTGTCCTGGATGAGAGCAAATGTACCATAGACCCTCGAATCATTGGTCTCTTCCTGACAAAGAATGCAAGTCCCGCTGGGGTACTTCCAGACCTTGGCTTCTTCGGGAGCAGCCTCAGCCTCAGACTCGAGATCACTCAGATCCTCATCAACACCCCAGTCAATACCACCTTGGGTGTTCATGAAGTTTTGTTGTTGCTGCTGGAATTGAGCCATCACCCTCGCCTGTCTTTCTAAGGCCTGCTTCTTCTTGAGCTCCTTTTCGCTGTTGTCAATTTCGCCAGCAGGAGGGTCAGTGTCGACCCTGTCGAATGGGAACTTGAGCGAAGCGGTCGCCGATTCATATGTTCGAGGCCGCTTCTGCCAGAACTTTTTGAGGATATGGCGAATTTTTGCTTGGCACGCAGAGAAATCGCCCATGGAAGAGATCTTCTCCAATAGCCCAACGATGGTCAGAGTACCTGCTTGTGTCATTCTGGCCTTCGACAGAGCATGGGAGACAAACGATGCTCTGGGCATGTCACCTTCCGCGGTGCGGTCTTCCAGCGTGGCAGAAAGAACCAAATGCAGCACCACCTGAAGGAACGTCTCAATGCGAGTCGGCGGTATAGTTGGCGTACGGTCCTTTGACGTCATCACATAGTCAAGAGTCTGGTGGACGATCTGCGCGAAAAGCGGCGTCCTGGTGAAGCCAGCAAGGTCAGAGAAAGCACCGGTGTTGATGGGCCGCAGCTTCGGCTCGAACACAACGTCCGATGCCTTCTTGCCTGTCTTCTTGGCCACCCACTCCCTGTACACATTCTCTGCTTCGTCGCGCTGGTTCTTGGTGTAGTGAGCACTGTATGGGTCCACCATGTCGATGTATTCCGGCTTGAGCTCGAATGTACCTGTGTCATTCAATCCCTCAGGCGGACGGAAGGTGGCGACCTCCTCCAGCACGTCTTGGAACATATCCGAGTCGAGCAGCTTGTCGCTGAGACGGGTCGAGAGGTCAGAGAATGAAAGAGGCTTGAAGCACAACACATGCGCGACGTCCCTGGTGATGTCCTCTTCCATCACGGCATCGCTGTCGTCACTGGCCGTGAGAGAAGACCGGTCTGTCAGCAAGATGACTAGCAGATGGATAAACTCCTCGGCAACATCAACAATCTGGGGTTCTTCCCATTCCGGTCGCGGGGTGTAATCCCGTGTCATCCAATCCGCAACGCGGAATCGTTCAGCAATGGATGCGAGAACCCTGCTGGGATCGCAGGTTACCATGGCAGTCTGGAGGAGGAAAATATCGCGGTAGTATGCAAAGTCGCGAGAAGATACACCCCGGTACTGCGACATTTGGTGGCGAAGACTGAGACCGTTGCGAACCCACATGCCAGCCTTCATTTGTGCCAGCCAAGCGCAAACCCTAAGCGGATAATCGAACATGGCGAGCAACAGGTCCTCGGGGCTAAGTTGGCTGTCGTGGATATACTTTGCATTGGCGGTCTGGGCAGCGTCCAGCAGAACCTCACGCATCAAAGTGTTGCTGATGTTGCGGCCACATTCAACCAACCACGATAACGTATAGTGCAAGGCATGGTGGAAACTGATCGACCCCTTCTCCACAACAAAGTCCACCACGCGATGTCGAGGCATCTGGCCCGACTCATCGGCCTCAAAGTCGAAGCACGGCAAGGACTTGAACCGGACGTAATCCTTAATCTCAGCCTGGCCGAACCGCGCACGCTCGATACCCGCAGAGTGCACTACAGCCGAGATGGTAGCAATCCAGACAGCTCTTAACAGGTTGCGACCACTGTCGAGTCCCGGCTCCCGGAAGGCCTCACAAAACTGACAGCAAAGGCGGTTGATCTCGCGCATAAGAATGGACGCGGTGATCCACGAATCCGTCTCATATTCCACATGCTCTCCCACGGCGCGCACGTTCGGACAGATTCCTTGCGACAGCTTAACGAGGTCCAGGAACTGGGAAAGGTACTGCTCCTCCGTCCGGACACGCTTCTGAACGTACTCGGACTGGAGCAGATGGCGTAAGTCCAGGAAGAAATGGTACAGACGTCGGTTGCTGACCGATCCAGAATCGAAGGCTAGGGTCGCGTTGGGGTTGACTTCGTATGGTTCGCCAACCTGCCTCGTGGTCAGGAAAGTGTAGAGGATGGCCATGACCTTGGTCAAGAAGTTCCCACGCAAAACAATTTCTTCCGTGATCGAGGGCGTGGTGAGAAGCTGCAGTGACAAGTTGACAATGGAGTGATCGGGCTCTCTGTCCGCAATGAGATACAGCTGAGCAAGCGCAGTGTACAATGCAGACAGGCGGAGGCCCATGACGCGTTTGAACTCGGGAACATTGACCACGGTGCCGATGTAAAGGTCGCGGAGATCTGTACGAGTTTTCTTCCACAAACGTAGATCAAAAAGAACCATCCAGTCGAGACGAGTGCGTTGATACAGGTCCTCGTGAGGTGGGATATGTTCGCCCTTCACAGGCATGTATGCCTTGACCTGCCAATAGCCTGGGGTCCTTGCCGGAGTTGTCCTGATAGCCCTAGACGGGGTTTTGGGGATGGGTGGGATATAAGACCGGGAATCAGGTTGGTTCTCAGTTGTGTTAACGTCCTGGTCATCCGGCTGTTGTTCCTCGTGCTCAGTCTCCTGCTCTTGGCCCTCGTCCTGTTCCTGCCGCTCAATTGTTCCTGCTCGAGCCTGGGCATACTCAGCCAACAGTGTCTCTGCGATCTCGAGCGGATCATCGGCATTGCCCATGACCATGTCTTCGTCATCATCCGCAATATCATCATGCAACCGGTTAAGTTCCATCTCCATTTCCTCATCCTCGTCATCGGCATCATGAGCTTCGACAAACTCAAGGCCTTCGTCTTCGTCTTCGTCCTCGTCCTCGTTTCCGGCTTCATTAGGAAGACCGGCATCCTCGTCGTCATCCTCGTCATCATCGTCATCAGGAGGCGCCACAACCAACGGTCCATTTGGTGAAATATGAACCATAACAGTCCGGTAGGGTCCATTCTCGATTTTCTGGTGATCATCGATTCCCTTCATTCCAATACCCGCGTTGTAGGCAGTACTACCGCGCTGCCATGTGTTCATGAGCTCTTCGCAGATGGTGTGACGCAGAATTTCATTATCTTGCTGGATACTGCAACCAGCAATATCCGCAAGCCATTCGACGATCGTTCCGCACATTTGCTCCCGGAAGATATCCCGAGCAGAACGCACCGTAACAGTCACCTTGATCTGCTCGATGATGTTTGACGTCGTTAATAGCTGCGGCAGGTTCTTCGAGTACTTGACAACGCTCCTCCCAATATCATTCGTCTCATGTGCCCTTTCAACCCCAAAGGCGTCTCGTTCCCGGCAGGCCCGGGTCACCTGCTGAGCCACATCTCTAATGGTATGTTTTTCGTCGTTCCAGAGCGCAAGGGCAAACTCCGGCTCTTCCTCCGGTTGATCACCCTCGCCATACCAGCCGGGACGTAACCGCGACGCCTCTTCATCCTGCCTGATTCCATCTTCAGTCTTTGCCAATCTCAACTGCTCAGGCGAGCACGAAATGACATCACAGAAATAGTCGAGTATGCGCGAGATCGTAAGCTTGATATTATCCACCCAATCCTGCGGCAACTGACTCTGAGCACGCTCTTTCCCCTTCGCCTCGCCACTATCGGTATGGATCGCGCAGAACAACGGCAGTCGCCACGCCTCGTCGTCTCCACAATCACAGCATCCGCAGTTCCCCGCCGACAACGAAATCTGATACTGATGGCCCGTGTGGTCCGAAGCGTCAAAGCAGCGACTACACAGCACACAGGTATCATCTGCCGCACAGGTAACACAGCGATATGTCGCCTCTCCGGCTCTGAAGATATGCCCGCATCGCTTGCCCCGCGCCGCCTCAGTGTATTCAGCCCCTTCCTCGGCTCCTTGGGCTTCTGCCAACTTCCATGATACAGCTTGGAGACCGTCGGGGAACAAGATTTGTAGGCGTTCTTCGTTGTAGCCGGTGAGTGATCGGAAGAGGAGTTCTAACAGATCCTTCTGGGCTTCGGGTCCATAGCGGTAGTTGTGTTTGGATGGGAGGTGAAGGAGGCCTTGCCCAAGGATTCTCTCACATTCTCTGAGCATCATTTAAAAAAGAATTCAGTGTTCTATGAGGGCGACACCATCCGGGTATCAGAAAGTTTGTTGGGTGTTCGTTAGCGGGACTTGGATCAGGCAATATCTGCAACAGTGGTCGGTATCGATGGGGTATTTTCGATAGAGAAATATGTGCAGAAAAAGAGAGATCTTAATATGTAAGTCTAATTAGAAAAGAAGCACATTAGTAAGTGTCGTGTGTGGTGAGAGTTGCGTCCCCCGTCACGATAGGATAGTGGGGGAGAGAACTGGAAGCGAGTCTGAACGGTAGGGTCGAGTACTAACAAGGCCAGTTGATTCGAGTCTCTCGGATGAATCTTGGGTGTCCAAATGGCCTCTAACAATAATCAAAGCGATTGTAAACAGGGCCAGCGACAGCTGAAAAACTGGTGGTAGTGAAGAGTAGCAGAAAAAAAGGATTGCCGATGACATCGAGGCACAACAACCCCGAGCGAATCAGCGCCACCGGCCCACGAAGAATTACTACTACATGTACTTGACAACATTGTATATAAGAGACAATTAAGCTAAATTGTAGTTAGAAGAAAAAGAAATCAATTTCATTGTACAGTCCGGTTCTGGATAACCACAATTCCCGTCATTCCTCCCCGGCCACTAGAGTAGCATAGCAAAACTATAATATCACAGAATTGCGCAGCTGCTTATAGGTATCCATGCTTTTATTCGGTCTCCCATGCTATAAACGCGCTCATTTACTCGTCGTCCTCATCCTCTTCCGCCTTGTTAAGGTACATGGGCTTGATGTCCTTCCATTGCCGCTATGAACCGTCAGCATCCGAAAAGTTCCAAGAAGTGTAGGAGTACATACGCCACGGTTGACGGTGTCCCAAATCTTGTTCGAGGCCGTGTCAAAGGCACTGTTGGTCATTCGCATTAGCGATCACTGTACTTGTAACTATCGGTTGAAGGACAGGGGAGCGTACATCTCGAATGCGAAAGCACCGGAAAAGATGCCGGTCATGAAGATGGCGTTTCTGCGGATGATGGATCTATAGCACAGGGCCAGTTAGCTCTTGCACTGCTTTGTTCGAATAGTATTATGGGGAGACGTGCTGGTAAATGACTTCAGCGATCTGTTACCGGGTAGAAACCCCCTCAATTAGCCATTGAACCGCGACAAACGTAGAACCCAGAAACAATACTTACTCCGGCCATGGTGAGCGATGAGAGTCCGCAGACAAGACCCGAGAAAGGAGCAGAAGGGCGAGTAAGAAGCGAGGTCGTGGTGGTTTGTCAAGGGTACGTCCAGCGAAGTTTCACGCCCGGGAGTCGGCGAGGGAAAATCAGCGGTGCTTTGATTGGCTGTCCGCGACAGAGCCGCCTGACCGGATTTCCGCAGCACACTCTTCTCTCTCAACGGAGTACTTAGGTACGAAGAATTCAATTCTTCTACAGTGAAATACAACTATTAGCACTCACAATGGCGGATCCCTCGCAGCTCACCAAGTCTGGAATCGCGACAGACGCCACAACCGGTGAACGATTCATTCCCTCCTCCATCCGTGCAGATGGCACCAGACGCCGCGAAATCCGAGTCCGACCGGGCTACAAACCCCCGGAGGATGTCGAATTGTACAGGAACAAGGCCGCTCTGGCGTGGAAAAACCGTGGTCATGGTGGGGTGCCGGGTGCTGAAGGAGTGAAGAATGACAACCCCGACTCCAGTGTTAAAAGCGAGAGCAATACGAATCCTACAAGTGCTACAAGCAACAAGAACGCGAAACGCAGAGAGGCGAAGAAGAAGAGTAAAGCTACGGAGGGTGAAACTAGTAGTGATGGTAGGAGGAACATCGCTGAGATCGACAACTGGCGCTCTTTCGCTGCGGGCAATGGCGGCGACAAGAAAAAGACAGGGGATGGTGCTCAGAAGCCCGCAGAGAAGACTACTGAAGAAGCATCTATGGATCTAGAAGCTGAGAATGAGAAGAAGGCACGGAATTTGAAGAAGAAATTGAGACAGGCACGCGACCTGCGGGACAAGAAGCAGCAAGGCGAATCCTTGCTTCCGGAGCAGTTGGATAAAATCATCAAAATCACCGAATTGGTGCGTCAGCTGGATTCTCTTGGTCTCGACTCGAATGGCGATAAGAAGGGTTTGGATGGAGAAGGAGAAAAGGAGAAGAAGGAGAATGCCTAAAGATGGAGCATGGCTTCTGCTCATCCGAGCGTCGACAACTACGAACACGAACCACATCTCGCCCAGGACTCTTGCATCTTCCTCGCACCACTATGACATGACCAACTCGTGTGAAATGGGCCATACTTGTTCGGCACCAAGATTGTGCTAGCATACATCCATTTTGTGCGTGCGAAACATACATGGACTCGTCCATCTCTGGCAAGGCGGATCTTGGAACATCCATCTCTTACATATCAGATGCGATCTGAAGTGATGTGAAATGAATAATAACATCTACACTTGCAGGCTTGCTTCTTAGCAGTCACACGAGATGATATTTACCACGAGCCCAGGATAGTTCACGAAATTTATCTCTTGGCTATGATAGCCAGCAATTTTGCATCGTATCTAACTATGTACACCTATTTTACAATCATCGTTCATCGTCTTTCTTTTGTTTTTTAAAGCGCTACTGTTCCGATAGAGGAACATCAACCCACTGAACCGGGGCCATCGGCAATCCACCCTCCAACACCCACTCCTCTGAATCAAACCCGGGATTGTTCATCTCAAGGTCCAACTTCTTTGCTCCAACACCCAACGTCGCAGCAATATACGCCTGTCGGACACAGTCTGTGATTCCAACACCGCCATACCAGGATCCCGCCAGGGTAAGTCGTTTATTGAAGTCATTGCGGACGGACCGTGAGAGCTCCTGCATGCGCGATACATGGCCCACGGTGTATTGGGGGATGGCGTTGCGTTGCAGTTTGCTGCGGGCGAGCGTGGGTTCGTCTGTGATGTTTAGGTGCCGTTTGAGGAGAGAGCGGGCCATTTCCACGGCTGTGTCGTGATCCGGGTAGTCGGATTCTATCCAGTCGTCCCACCAGTGGCCACCGAACATTACTGTAAGTTTGGTGCCGGGGGCGGTGTCCTGGCCAACACTGGAGTCGGAGCCGAAGATAACTCCTAGTGCTCGTTCTGGGTTCTGGTCGTAGGGTATTGATCGGGGGATGAGGTAGCCGAAACCGGTGACGGGGACAAGATTTGGGTTGGGGTAGTATAGATTGACAACCATGACTGTAGTTGCATAGTTGTGCTGGTTGAGACAATTGATTGTACTTTGCGGGAATTTTTGGTCTTTCTGTGTGGTTTGGCTGAGCTGTTGAGCTAGGATTGGAGCTGGGTTGGTAGCAATGACCCGGTTGTATGTTTGAGATTGCTCTCCATAGTCGACCTGTACATGTTAGCCTAGAAGTGATAACTTGAAAGAACCACTTACAATCAAGTCAGACGTCTCTGGATTTTGACTGATAGCTCTAACATCAGCATTAGTGATGACCTCCACCTTCTCATCCCTATCCAAAGCCGCAGCCAGAGCATCAGACAACTGCCCAACCCCATTCTTGAACGTCAACGCGCTAGACCTCGCAACCAACGTCTTCAGCACCTTCCAATACTCAATGTTCTTCAACGGACCCGCATTCCTCCGAGCCAAAGAATCATCCACACGCACAATCGCTCTCCCCGAACTTTTGATGTTTAGTAGGGACCCGATCACACCCCGGTCCGGAGTCTCAAACGTCCGAATTTGTCCCAGAAGAGCCTGCGCGCTCAATTTATCAATATCGCCTGCGTAGATACCATGCATAACCGCAGATACAAGGTTATCGGCGACGTCGGGGTGGAGTCTGCGAGCGACGAACTCCGCGACGGACTCGTCTGTAGGGCCCGGGATGAGGTCCAGTTTCAATGGTTCTGTGACGACGCCTTTGATGAGGTTTTTGAATACCGGTTCGGATAGCACGCTTCCCAGGATAGATATTGCATTCTGTAGAGCCCCCGTCTCCGGATCGGGGCCTGGCATGCGGACGAGGTGATCAGGGTAGTAGATATAGCGATTGCGAGCGGCGGGGGTATTCTTCTTCGTGAAAAGAACTTCATCATGAAGGTCCATGTCAAGTATCTAGCCCATAATCAAAAACAATCAGTAAAAGCTCCAGCAATCCCTCCGCATTCCACTCACCAAATCAATCAACGGAAGACAAGCAGGTGCCGCAGTCCTCAAGGTCCGCGGTCCATACTCAAAAACGACATCCCCTCCGTCCACGGGAATCCTCTCAGACAGCATCCAACCCCCTAGTCGTCCAGACTTCTCATACAGTGTCACCTTCGAGCATTCCGGGTCCTGCGACAATCGAGCGGCCGCCGTGAGGCCGGTGATGCCGCCGCCTATGACCGCTGCATTATAATTCTTGGTTTCGGTGTGCAGGGAGTGTCTCTGGCCATTGCGGAAAAAGGACGATTGTGTCCGGAGTCCTCTCAATGCGTGGCTAGGGACACATGGTAACCGCATCTCAGCAAAGTGAAAGAAGTGTGTTGGTTGCGAGAAGATGGCCGAGAGGTGCGATCCGGAGTCGGAGATATCATAAATTACGGTATGGTATGGAAACCTCGTGATCATCCAGTATGCCCTATAAGTGCATCATGGACAGAAGTGATGAAGGCGAAAAGCATGCTCATATCATGCGTTTCATATCCAGGCTCTATTTACATACATTGGTCGTTTCCATTTATCAAGATCCAAAATCAAATAACGCCCCTCTCCCGCCCAAAGCAAATGAACCGAATTAATACATGAAATTATGAAATCTTCTCAAGCATCGTTCTTCTAACTCCCAAATGAAACCACGATGAGCAATCATCCTTTAAAAGAAACGGGGACATGAACAAAAAAAGAAAAGGTAATTGCGGGTATCACGTCACAATCTCTTGAGAAGAACCCTTGTTGCCAGCACCGGGCTTGATCAGCTCTTCCTCTTCTTCATTCTCGTCGGCAACAAATTTCCTCTCGCTGACATGCGATTTCTCTTGACCATCGGCCGACCAAACCTTGTCGCCGAATGAACCTCGCTGGCCCTCGGCATGCTTGTACGGGCAGGTAGGGTTCAGGCAGGGGTTGAACTTGCACGCCGTTTGGAGATGCGTAAACTCACAGCCTTCGGACGTGCAGTCAGCGCCGTTGCGGCAGAGAGGCATAGATGGGTGCTTGAAATGACAGTTGGGATTCGCGCAGTTGGGAAAGAATTTGCACATCGCCTCTGCCTGGTGTACAGACTTGACTGCGGGTGAAGGATGACGGGCAGTGCATTTCCGGTTCTTGCACGCTGCTCCATACGTACAATGATCTGCTGGGTCAATCGGGGCACCCTGCGGAGCCGCGGGAGACTGGTGCGCATAGGGGCAATCTGGCCGAGTGCATCGCAGGTTGAAGCGACAAGGAGAGTTGGTGTTGTTCTCGTCATGCTGTTCTCCCTCCTTGGGCTGATCATTCATATCCATGTCGTCGCCACCGGTGTTTCGATGCTGTCCCCGGTTTCCAAAGGGACGTGGCCCTTGGCGCTCAACACGATCGAACAACGATCGTCCCTGCTGAGGACCGTTCTGTTGGAAAGCCGGGTTGATCGCGGGGGGCATGAACCCGGGCATAATCTGAGCCATCATCCTCGCCTGTTCTTCCAGTAAAGACATGAGGTGCATCTGATCTTGCGGGTTCATGTTCATCATCTGGTTGCCTTGCATGCCCATTCCACTCATCTGCCGTCCACCTTGCATCCTGCCGCCATTCTGGAAACGGTTACCCTTCTGGTCACGGTGAGAGTTTATCCGTCCAGCGCCCGGTTGGCCACGAATGCGATGTAAAGACGAGTCTGCGGTACGGTCCATAGTTCTATTTATTTGGTTGAGCATCCCTCCCCTCCGTCCTCCTCGACCATTCCGCATTGCCTTTGGTCCGGTCGGGCTATTGACAGTTGTTAGCTCATGATTCCAAACAATGCTTCGCAATGCGACGACTTACATTTGATCATTCATCGTCACATCACCTATCTCCACATTCTGTCCGCCACCATCACTCCAAGGCTGAGGAGCAACCGACTCCTGCTCAACAGTCGGAATAGCATGAGCATCGCCCGATGACACGCCCCCACCGTTAATCTGCCTGTTCAAAACATCGACTTGCTCAAACAACCATCTCGAAAAGTCCAGCGCCTGTGTATCCCCTTCGCCAAGCCCCAGCAAATCATTGGAAAGTTCTCCAGCGATCTGTTCCTGGGTCTTGCCGTTGACCAGCATCAGAATTACATATTCGGTCAAGGCTGAATCGTCGCCCCCTTCGGAACTCCAGCCCATTTCGACCAGTTTGGGCTGAATAACATGGCCAAGCGCCTCCGCAAGGGGAGTACCGACGGCCACCGCAGTAGTCATTGTAGAAAATATCGTAGAGCTGAGAAAAGGGAAGTTTCGAAACAAACGGAGCGTTTGACTCGTCCCGCGCCACCTGTCGACCGATTCGAGCAGATAGGTTTTAATTCTCCGGTCGCGAGAAAAATCTTCGGTAGAAGCGATAGGTTGAGATGGGGTTTCTATCGGTACGAAGAAGGAATTAGGTGGTGAAAGAGGGAAATGATAGTTCTTTTCTTGGTCCCTTTGGGCGATGATGAAACTGAACGCTGAAGAACGCCAAGAAGTGTATTGTCACGTGGTGTGGCTAGTTAGTGGCTGCAGAAAGTGATGCAAATTATGCAAACATTGCCTCTTCATGCAGGAGTCTTCTCAAAAGTGCGCACAGAGTAGAATTCAGTCGATAGATAATCGTATTTTAGAGTCTGTAGATCGACATAAGATGCTATGTTAAGACAAAAGTACGTTGCCACCGGTATGCGTTGAAGGAAGCATGAGACAATAGTAGCCTTCCCAGTATATACAGAAGCAGGAAGTAAGAACATCTTCCGTGGTGTCCGGCAATAACCTCCATAACAGATACCATGGTCAAGCCTTGACAGCACGGGGAAATAATGCGGCAATAAATATAGCCATAGCCAACCCAAACGACCACCAGACCAGTGCCCGTAACGCAAAAGCACCTGCAAATAATGGCCTCGACGTAGCTATACCCACCCACCGTCACCAGCCCCGGAAAGAACAATAAAAATGCAATGGATCCCACTGGCAGATGCTGGAACAACCCCATCAAATCAGAGTCAATTTCCAAGCTAGCCTCGGATTGTCGACCTTCGAACTGAGGGGTTCTGCTTCGCCGAGGAAGAAACAAAAGAACATGCACATCGTATCGCATCGCATCCGGCATAAAGAAAGACACCCCCCTGGACCTGTTCTGTTTTGAATGGATTTTATTCTTGATCTTGCATAGTGGTGTCTGTGTGTTTCACCGCAGTTGTTCTGTATGTCTATTGTATGGGCGCTCTGACAATATTGATTGTTGCTGATAGTCCATGCAGACTCACGCCAACATGCTCGAGAATCTCTTGCATGATCTGACGCCCGCAAAGGCGTCCCTCTACATTGTAGGACTCTTCTTTCTCGCCTGTCTGCTTCGCAAAGCACAGGTCGCTGCTGAGATCGCGCGCATAGGAACTAGAGCCCCCCGAATCCCGTTTCGCATTCCATACGGTATGTCCGGCAGTCCATATCTTCAACGGAAAGACACTGACAAGGCCAGCAATCGACTTCATCGTCAAATCCATCAAAGCAAACAAAGCCTACAAGGATGTCGAATACTGGAGCAACGCGATCAAAGTCGCCAGCGAAACGTACCAAGTCGACCACGCACAAACCGCCGAGATAGATGCGGGTATCTCGAATCGGATAGTCATAACGACAGACCCGGAGAACATCAAAGCCATGCTGACCCTCCAATTCGGGGACTTTGGAAAGGGCGAGTCGTTCCATGAAGAGTGGAGAGAGTTCCTGGGGGATAGTATCTTCGTTACCGATGGGGACATGTGGTCGCGTTCGAGACAGCTTATTCGACCCATGTTCACGAGGGACCGGATTGTCGATACAGAGATATTTGAGAAACATGTCCAGCATCTTATTCCGTTGCTGGCTGGGGGTGGTGCGCCGGGGGCTAGTAAGGTCGTTGACGTTGCCCAGCTATTCTATCGATACACCCTAGATGCAGCGACGGATTACCTCCTAGGCCATGGCACAGAAAGCCTTCAGAACCCGCAAGCTGCCTTTGCAGAAGCGTTTCGATATGTGCAACGCCGTCAAGCCCAACTGTTTCGACTGGGGTGAGTCTCTGCCAAAAGTAATCTGAATAAGTTATCCTAACAAACGCTGCTGCTCCTTCAACTTCATCCTCTCGCGCAAAGAATTCCGCGAACAACTCAAGATCATGGATGAATTCATTCAGCCCTACATCACTCATGCCCTGTCCCTCTCCACCACCGAACTCGACCAGAAGCTCTCGACGAAAGAAACCTTCCTCCACGCCCTCGCCCGCTTCACCCGCGACCCTCGCGTCCTGCGCGACCAACTCGTTGCCGTCCTCCTCGCCGGCCGCGACACAACCGCCGGCACACTATCCTTCATCCTCTTCGAACTAGGCCGCAACCCTCACATCGTCCACAGACTGCGCGAGGAGATCGGGTTGCGCCTGGACTTAGGCGCTAACGGACAAAAACCCTCATACGCAGACCTAAAGGAGATGAAGTTCCTAAACGCCGTGATCAACGAGACAATGCGCTTCTACCCCGTCGTGCCCTTCAATGTCCGCTACTCCCTCCGCGACACGACCCTTCCACACGGCGGTGGGAAGGACGGCCTCGCCCCCGTTGGCATCCGCGCCGGCACGCGTGTTGTCTACTCAACGCTCATCATGCAGCGTGATCCGCGGCACTACGATCAGCCCGGCTCACCCAACTATTTCGATCCTGGTAAATGGATTCCCGAGCGGTGGGTGTCTGGGTGGCAGCCGAAGCCGTGGCATTTCATCCCGTTCAATGGAGGACCGCGGATTTGTATTGGGCAGCAGTTTGCGACGATTGAGATGGGATATACGCTTGTGAGGATTTTGCAAGCGTTTGAGAGGATTCAGACGATGCCGGTTAGTGTGGGGGATAGAGTGGAGGATCCGTTGTTGGAATTTGAGGTTACGCTTAGTCCCGGGTCGGAGATGAATTGTGTCTTTGTGAGGGATGGGGAGGGGAATCTTTTGGAGAAAAATGGTTAATGTTGGTCGTTTTGTCCTATATATGAGTTAAATATGTTACACCAACACGTGACTGTACGACACATTATTATAGCTGCATGTATATTTCCATTATAAGGGTAAATGATAGCATTGTGACTACTTTTGATCTTTAATTACTACAAGCTCAATGCTAATAGGACGGATAATGAGTCCTAATTGACTGGTCTAAACCTGTCTTGCCTATCAGTCTCCATCTCCTACCTAGACCGCATACTCCATTTTGCTCCTTCTCCTAGAAGCACCCTATCTCATCATCCTCCGTCCCAATGAAATAGCAGGTCTACCCAAGTCATCGTTCTCAAATCTACCACAAGTCAGCACATCAAGTTCCCTGTCGCAAAAATGTGCAAAGAAACATACGACAAAACAGCCACACTCGATGGCTCCATCAACAACCTCATACCATGATCCAACGGCATACCCACCCATCGCAAGGCCAGCGCAGCCAGAATATGCCCATGACCAACACAGACAATATCACGGGCCGATCGCGTCGCGTGGGAAATTTGCAGTCCGCCGGGCCATTCGGTCACGCTCTTCTCGATGTTCTGGCGGATCTCTGCTATGAGTTCGTCTAGGCGGGTTGTGATTTGTTCGGGGGCCCTATGCGTTCACATATTATATTAACATGGGTTGAAAAGAGCGAGGGAGAATGGAATAAGTGATGACGAACTCCCCTCCCGGACAGCCATCTTTCCAGATAACCCAGTCCGGACTCTGAGGTCGACGCGCAGAGATCTCTGCCAGTGACAGTCCTTCGTACTCCCCGTAGTTCCATTCATTGAGCCACGACGTAGCCTGGATCATAGGCTCTGAGGAGGCGCCTTGAGATCCCGTCAGTGGGCTAACTGTCTTGCTTTGATCATCCCGGTCGAGAAAGTTTTGTTGACTCTGGACGCCCAGCTCAAGGATCTCGACAGTCCGTTTGGTTCGTTGCTGTGGGCATACGTAGCTATAAAGAAAACCCGATTCAATTAGCAACGGTTCCCAACAGGCAGAGCTAGGAACACTTGCATCCTGACCACGTTCTCTGGATCAATCAGTTTGTTTCTTCCTATGTAGCAATCTCGAGTCTCTTCAACCTGACGCTCGCCTTCTCTGGACATGGGCACATCCGTAAAGCTCGCGTGCTTGCCGCCAACAGACCAAGATGTTTCACCATGACGGATCAGAAAGACTCGAGCTGATATGTTACGGACCATGGTGATTAATGAAAATGAGGAAGAGACGTGCGCTTGTGAGAAATCCCCGGAGTGGTAAAAGGAGGAAATCCTGCTGTAGAACTCAGTCCTGAGATAATTTAAACTCGACTCACAAAGTTTCTTGGTTCAGGAAGATTACTGGGGAATTACTAGGAGTGAAACTTCATGCTGAGGTCAATGTCCTGGAACGCGATTCCCGATAGTCACCACCTAGACGGGATGCATTTCCTGCCAGACGGTTCCATACAGCAACTATGACGTTTTTGGCTTGAAGTTCTTGGGATTTGATAAAGGTGAATTAAAGTGGATGAAACTGACGCTGGAGGATTAAAAAAAAAAAAAAAAAAAAAAAAAAAAAAAAAAAAAAAAAAAAAAAAAAAAAAAAAAAAAAAACCGGCAATAAATTGGGAGAAGGCAGCAGGGCTCATTAGTCCTAAGTGATCGAGTTGTCTACTCTTTTCAGGTAATGCCACAGTCGAGGTACTTCAGGATACAAGGATTATCATTAATAAAGAGAGTCGTAATTTATACAGCGGGAAGATTGAAAACCACGGGGAAACGCCAATGATACAAGAAAACACAAACCGATGCCAAAAACAAATGCTACCCATAAAGAATATAGACCGTAAAAGAACAACAAAAAAACATGTGCCATAATCCTCGTTTATAGTCATTCCATCGTTTTTTCAATCATGAACTCATGTCCAGGTTGTCATTATGGAGAGCTCAGAACATCGCAAGGGCATTACCAAATAGCGCGCAGACAACACTAAGAGCAGAAATCCTGACCGTATTACTCGAAGCGCCAACAGTAGGAGCGACATGCACAGGTCCAGTATATGATGGGTGGCCATGGTCCGGGTGTTCGTTGCTGTCATTAGCCGTTGCAGTTGCTTTGGACTTGGACGTATTGGACGAAGACGAAGAGGTAAGAGAGATCGAGTGACTAGTCATAGGGCGAGAACTGATAGGACTGGTGAGGCCGGTAGAGATAATAGAGCTGATAGGGTTGGTAGAACCGATAGTGCCGGTCGAACTGGTCGAACTGGTAGTGCTGGAAGCCGCCGATGACACGCTGCTCGACTGTACCTCAGTACCAGAGGGGGAAAGCGGCACCGGCGAGGAGAGCGACGAAGCAGAGGTAGACCGGACCAAAGACTAGTGATCATTGTCAGCTAAATCTGGCACGTTCAGGAAAACGCAGGGACTGGGGAAGTGCTCACTCACAGAAGACGTGCTGGGCGGCTGGACAGATCCGGATCCTGAGAAGGTCCAACCGCTAGGCAGCGACGTCGATTCCGAGGTCGAAGAAACCAGTGTGGTCGGGGTAGGAACCCAAGGCCAGATGCTCGGAGTCACAAAGCTCGACGTTTCACGGTGCGTTCCACTCCAGGGAATAGGGATGTTTTCGACAGTTGAAGTCACGGGGGGAGCAGCCACGGTGGATTGAGGCGCGGCACTGTTGCCTTCGACCTGGCCTCCTTCGGCGACAATGGACTCCCACGAGCCGCTCTTGTCACCGTAAGCGTACGAGCTCCCGGTGGAATAGTCAGTCACCTTGAGTGACTTGAGGTACATGGTGTAAGGACCAGCGCTATAGTCCGTCTCGCCGCCAGCCCATTCTGTAAAGCCATGGCAGTTAGACAAAGGCTTATGGGTACAGCAAAAGCAAGGGTGAACTCACGAATTGTGCCGTCAGCGTTGTTAGGGTCACCGCCAGCCCAGACTCCGATCTTGACCATCATGGGTGACTGAGGGTACTGGTCGTCGGGAGCATCGTCCGGAGTAAGAGAACGAACAGTCTGACCATCGATTTGCCAGATGATCTGCTTGCTCGTCCAGTCGATGGTGTAGGTGTGAAATTCGTCGTGGTTGTTCCGGTTGTCGTGGGTGGCTCCACGGTTGTAGCTACCAGTGTTTCCCTTGCCGAAGTAGTTGGTCTGCACATAGAGATCGTTGACTCCAAGCCATTCCCAATCAATCTCGTCCAAATCGTCCGATTGCAAAACGGCACTGCTGACAATGCCCGTTCCGGGAGCAGTCTTGATCACTGCTTCAACCCGACCAAACATAATATACCACTTGGACTGGATTAACGGGGCATCACCCTGCTTGGCCACAGTAAAGCCAGCACCATTGGAGTCGTAGTTGGGCGTACCCACGTCGGCGAATTCGTCAGAGTGACCGTCGGTGAAATCGAAGGTAGCGGACCGTCCGAACGCTGGCTTGGGGGGACAGGCTAAGAGACAGTTTGATTAGCAGATAATCGTTTAGCCACTTTCTTTGGACGGGGGACTTACTCTTCTCGAGTGGATTGCAGTCCGTAAAGGTCTGAGCAGCAACCCCCGCGGAGTATGAGAGAAGGCTGATTGTCACACCAATGAGAGGGAGCCTCATGATGGCGATGACCTAGTGACTCGGGTATGCGGTTGGAATTAGAGATGCAAGATTCAAGAGCCAAAAGACACTAAAGTAGAGGATATGCTATTTGCAAATGCAAAATGCAGGAACAGATGGAAAATCGGTGGTTGGAGAGAGAGATGAGAGGGAGGAAGAAGGACGATGGAGGAAGAGAAGAGGAAAAGCTTTTAACGACAGACGCAGAGGTCTGGATTGACAGCAGAAAGAGGAAGGCACGCTCAGCTGTGGCCACAGAGAGAAGGCGCCGGTATGACTCGATCCTTCCCGAGGCCATCACCAGCCTCCCCAATTTCCTGATACGGTCAATAGTTGTGCCTTCCCGTTGCGGTAACTTTCTGGTGGGCCACAGCTTCTGTGGGGCTACCGAGAACCAATGACATGTACTAAACTAATCCATGATAGGACGTTTTATTGGTCATTACAATAAGCTACGCCAGATCTAGTCTAGTTCCATACCACGTGATAAGATCAAGTTGTGCATAGTACTCCTTATCGCTGCTAATAGCCTGTACTATGTATGTACAGAGTACTCCGTAGCTATAAAGATGTTTATTTCCAGGGTTGATTAGGAAGGGGTGACGGGGTGACACCATGTCCCAGGTGGTCTTGAACGTGGTTTCTGCACGAGTAACATATTGTGCATCGACTTGGTTTCAAGGAAAGGACCAAGTGGAACAATGTATCCATTCTTGTTCTCTATAGGTTTCTATAAGCTTGAATATTGGTACTTGTTGGGCCTTTGCATTTACTTCTATACTCTGTCGGTCGGTCACTGAGACTAGTTTCTCGTCACCGCCATGGCCCATTCCCAGCCTCCTCTTTTATTGGATTTTTTTATAGCACAGACCTTAGTCTACGGAGTGCTCCGTACTTCGTATTGCATTCAAACATATGTAAGCCTCCTCTCTTGTGGAGGTTGTCGCAGACATTGGTAAAAGAGAAAGAGATCAATAACCTTTTACGCCAGTTTGATCGCCCATTTCAGATTGCTCCACTCCGGCGTTGACATTCTTTTCGTATAGGTTGAAGATACGGAGTACCTCAGCACACCTACACACGAAGTAGTATATATTGAATGACGAGCTGGAGACAATGCACTATTGTCATCTGTACAACCGCCGGTTGGTTACATCCGGTCAGCCACGTGCAAAAGGGATATCTCATCTGGGTACGGTCGTGATATCATGACTCGGGCGGTTCCGCGGTTGGCGGCGGACAAACGGCGATTGGGTCTGTGTTCATACCCAGATAACATGGTGATTATTGTTGAATGAATGGACTGGGATTATCATCTGCGTCATGGATCACCGTCCTTTGCCATAATAATAACAATGCTCTAAATGCCACTATTGGGAGGTTCATCTCCCGGCGTGTTTCATCTACCTTGATCATCGTCTCAAACAACCTCCGGCCGTGAACAAGAAAACGTCTCGGATCTGTATCATATGGGAGGGACCTCTCTCAATCATCCAATATCGTACCCCATACAGAGAAACTCGTACCCCACACGGAGTACTGTATATGATACTGTCTATGCACACATCCCACCATGTTCGACCAGTCAATCAAGGTCAGAGAAGAGGGGAAGACGTTAATGAGGTGCGGGATGAAGGACGGGCCAACTGTCAGCTAGCCTCGAGGATCGTATCGGGTGGAATTAGCATTGTCTGCCTCTGTCGTTAAAGAAGCCGTAGCACGAATACTCCGTAGTAGCTGTAGCAATAGGAGAAAGCACAGACAGCGTCACGGATCATCGTGTCAATCCTCGGGCAGGAGGAATATGTAAGAGTACATACTACTGATACGGAGTAGCATGCAATGAGTTCTGTTCTTTGCAATGATCAGCTGGATCATCTCGAATCCTTTTTTAATAGTCTGCACTTAACGGAGAATGTACGGAGTAATCACACAGAGACGTAGAGTACTGAGGCTGACTCCACTACCCAATCTGGTAATCCTCTCTTGCGGCTCCGTCTTTCTCCTCACCCTCCAATCTCCCTCTCACACACACATCTTCTCTCTCTCGCTTGTCTCGGTTTCTTTAATCAATATTCATTCTCCTATCTCTTACCATTATCCATCACCTTTTCTCTTCTTCTCCTTTCAGCAAGAGCATCCCTCCCTCTTCAGTTCTTCTCCCCCCGTTGTCTTCGTTTGCCTCCTTCCCCTCCATTCAGCAGGTCTCTGCCCACAATGTGCGATGACGTTTCCTGAATGTTTTGTACCTCCCCCCTCCGCCAGAGCTGAGAGAGACAAAAGAGAAAGAGATAGACAGAAACAGCTTTGTTAAAGCCCGTTTTACGGCTTGTCTCCCTCTACCCGTCGCGCCCGAACGCTAAGCCCCGTGCCTTCCAATAATATTCGTTCTTGTGCATACTACGCTACGGAGCACTTTTAGTACCATCACTACGGAGTACTACTACCACCACCGACACCACCGGTACTACTACTACTACTACTACCACCACCACCACTTACTTTCACTATTACGGCTATACCTGATATATATTCGCTACGAAGTTTGATCATCATTACACACCTTTCACGAATTCCATGATCTATCCTCATTCTTAACGTACCTTGTCTCGATAGTGTGCTGAACTCAGAAACTCGACCGGACCTCCTTTCACCTTGAACGTGGCATCCTTTCCCCTCCTCCCCTTCCATTCCTCTTCTATCAGCAATATACGTTCTTTCCGCTTAGACCTATCACAAAACTTCCTTCCAGCTTCGTTCTTTCCCCCAAAAGAGCCGATTTCGATTTCGCGATCTCCCCACCTCCAACGCGAACACGACGCAGCATCAAAGAAGCAAAATCAGATTGCCCCTCGACGTGTCGTTTGTCGGCGTCATTGATGGTGGGTTGTGATAGGTTTCCGTGATTGCTGTGACAACCGGTTGCCAGCTGATTGCGCCGTGGAGGAAACCGACAAGGGTCTTAAGCATGGCTTCACAGGGGCGCCAGCCTTTCGAGAGTAGAAATGGCTCTACAGGTTCAGATACCGGTAGTTGGGCTTCTAGGGACACCGTTAGAGATAACCAGAACAACTATCGCTCAAATACGGATCCTACCACGTCGAACGGTCGCAACGCGCCTTCGTTTCCTGGAAATGCGAAAATGGATAAGTACGGACCTTACCTTTTTTTTTTTTTTTTTTTTTTTTTTTTTTTTTGTGCCCGGCTCTCTTGCTCTGCTTGTATTCTTGATGCTTGGAGCATCGCATGAACTACATCTGCGTTAAAAGCAGCGTTTGGTGCCATGGAAATGCAGCTCGATTCTCTCACCCTTCCCTCCTGTCAGGTGTAAAGATATCGCTACAGTCTTTGCGCGTCGACATAGAGCTTTATTCCCTGGCTTGTCTAGCATTACGGTTGCTTGCCTCTGCTTTCTTTGATACGTAACAAGCTACAATTGGCTTGCACCAAATGGTACTGGACCTTTCTGGGCAAGTGCTAACTGATGCCAGTTCTAATGCACAAGGTCGCCCACCCAACCTCGGCGTTCCGCCTGAGTTTTATACATCCATGTTCTCCTTGGGATCTTCGGATAACCCCGCAGAGCAACGGAAACCGCCTACGTTTGGGAGTCATAGAAAAGCATTGGCCGTGTTAGGATCGGACGACCCTGGCCCTCCTCCGTCTTCCAGCTCCGGTTCACGACCGCCCTCTTTGAATCCCAATAATCAGACAGACTACTTTAGTCAGGAGCCGGTCTCTCCATGGTCTTCGTCCCCAAAAATGGGGCCCACCGATGGCCCTGGGACATTCTACAACGATCTCTCCGAACAGGAGGCGTCACCCTCCTCTACCACTTTTCGGACAGGTCAAGGCCGGCCCTACGGGAGTGATTCGTTCGAGCTGGATTACGGTAGGGATCACCGGAGACCTTCTGCAGCTAGTGCTACCACGATCAGTAGCCAGGGCTCCAAGTCGAGCGGCAGTAAATTTCGAAAAAAACTACAGGGCTTCTTTGGTGATGAATATCTTGGGTCGCGTGATCAAAAACCGGAATCGGACGAAACCAGTCTCTATAGCAAAAATACCAGACTCGGGCCCCTTGACCAAGCAAGAGCACGTGAGCGAGCAAACTCGGATGGATCACGACACATCTCTGACACCAATAATCCGTCGCGCCCATTGACACCCCTCCCAGCTCTTCCTTCCAGTGATATAACTCCCTGGGATTACCAGAATCTGGGCGTAAGTGCTTGGCAATCGATCTTTTCCCCCTCTATTATTTGCACTTTTGTCTAACCGGGTGTATTTGTCAGGATGTTCCACAGTATGGAGATGCACCTGTACGTGACACTCCTATCATTGCAGATCGTAATCGTCGCGGAGCGCAAAGGGATCCAGCTCGGAGACCTTTCCCTACGCATCGCCACACCCGCAGCAAGGAAGAGAAGCCCACATCAGCTGGCGAACTTTCAGGATATCCGGCTCGCCCGGCAACTGGACAGGATGATTCTTCTATTGGGCTTCGCCCCTTTGCAGAAGGTGGCATGTCCCCTGCTATGAACTCAACGACTACCCTCGGCGGTCGTCCTGCCAGCCCGACGCCTAGCGTTCAAAGCACCCATTCACGTGAGCAAGGTCAGAATTCTCCCGGTGCACCTTCTGGTACCAAGCGGTCCCTGTTGGGTAAAATTCGGTTTCCCAAAGGGCATGGTCCTCTCAAACATCTTCCGGGTTCCTCCAAGGCGGTCCAAGATCAGTCGAAATCGTCGAAATCGGCGCGCCGTGACCAATCCCCCGTTAGACGTGGGAGACAAGGAAGTCTTGAGGATGCTAAAGGTTCCAAGCTTCGTAACCGTCGCAATGAGCCAGGGAATGCGGACGAACCAGGTGTATGGCCTCTCGATACGGATCTCGATCATATGGAGGGAATTGTAGCGACTCGAGGAGGTCAAAGTCGAGGATTTGATGAGACGGCTGCGCAGCCGGATGATAAGAAAGGGCCGATGCCCCCAGGAAAT